GGGAACTAAGGCGCGTACAGCAGAGTACAGCAGGGAACTAAGGCGAGTACAGCAGAGGAACTAAGGCGCGTAAGCAGAGCGAGTACAGCAGGGAACGAGTACAGCAGGAATCTATATGAATACAGCAGATATGTTCAATGCTTTCACCTGTCCCTACTCTGAAATGTTCAAGATTTGCACCTACCAGCTGTATCAGTTGGAAAACGTATTAATAAAAAATGGAACAAGGAATCACCGAGTATCTGTGACCAGTGAAAACTTCTTCTCAATTCCGAGAACCGTAAACATTAGTTTAGGAGGGGCGGACAATGCGCAGTTGTGTTTTGCGTCTATGACATGTTGATAAACGTGTAAATCCTGACCTAAAATGTAGACTTCAGCAGTCACCGTTACCCAAAAATTCACGTCATGAGCCATGAATGACATCAGTTGTTTTCGGGCCACTTTACAAGCAATGAAAACAGCGGGACAACTATTTTTGACACAGTTTGCACGTCGGTTTTTCGATTTATGCCTCAGTGAACCGAAATAAATATTAATTCAATGCTCATTAGTGAGAATTTCAGAAAAAAATATTATCCGTTTGGGTAATATCAACGCACGGTTTGCGTTGTGGTGCAACGACTAAAGGGAGATGACTCTTGGGGGCTGAGTGGTTCACTTACTTTGTCTCACGGTCCCTTCTGTCTAGCCCTGTCTGCAATGCTGAAGCCATAAATGAAGCAAGTCTAGATTGCCTCAGATTCTGAATCTCGCATCTCTCTTGGTCTAATTTTTAATTTAAAAATACTTGTTTGTTTCTATGAAAATGATATACAAAATATTCAGAGACTAAGCGTTAGTCTAATAGAGCCTGTGCTATTAATGATACTTAAAAGAAATTCATAACTGTAAATGCTCGATGGGTGCAACTAGGTATTTAGGAAAACATTTAGTCAGATATATAGCTGTTAATGTATATTTATAGTCTACTTCTCACTAACATCCGCCCAAACACTTTCTACAATATCAAAGCTCTAAATGAAGCACATTTACATGACCAAGCTCCCTCGGGCCCTTTCCAAGGTAAATAGAGTTATTTGTATTTATCAAATATTTTCAGATACTAAACGTTAGTGTGGTTTATTGAATGTACATATCAATGATATTTTCCTAACGAATTTCTACCACGAACTACTAGTAATGCATGTTTTATTCTCGACATTTTAAGGCAGAAACATAGTCGAATCTTCATGTTGCTCGCTGACATTGTTCCCGAACTAATAGGTAAATTGTGTAACCTAAGATGTTGCATTTTATGCTTTTTATATAACACCGGTCGGTCAAAGTGGTCAGCACGGGTTCATCTTAGTCGTCCAAAATTTAGAAACCGAGCACAAGCACTGATATTGTCAACCTTGCCCCAAAGCTATACTGAATGCTAAGCCCATGGATGTATAGTAATTCGATCCTTTAAAGAGGCAAGTGCTCTGTACAAGAACTAAGGATCTAAGGACGCCAGCCTGTTTCAGGGACAGTGTGTTAATTATATTTATATTTTTAAAATTACCATTTAAACTATTAATTATTACCTTAGAGTCTTATGCAAGTCTATGAAATTGCTTTCTTGGGCTTTGTTGAGCCTGGCGGGGAAAAGTATATATTTTCCGGGTGCTTCATCTGAATCAGCATTCCTATCACTTGGCAAATTCAGGGAAGTGTCTGTGACGAGAGTCACGCATCCTTTGGTTGGAGTAGACCACGGTATTGTGGTCTTGCTGTAAGTGCTTTTATGCTTATTTTATATGTTTGACATAGATGCACCAAAGTGTCTATACGGTAAAGAGAAGGTGCAGGTTTTGGAACAACCAGCGATGTACATTTATAACCCATGTCACTTGGTCGAGGGTACAGATAACGTAAATCGTCTTTAAAAAAGAGGTGAGGTGAAATTGGGTTTAACGTCGTGCTTGAGAATATTTCGCTCATATGACGACGTGCATGCGTGTGTATGTGTATGTGCGGCTGCTTGCAAGAGCCCAGACTGAAGCTGGTTTTATAGTGCTAGCCCACTGAGATACCATGCCGCAGTGAAGCATGAATACCCTACTCAGACACATTATACTGACTCCGAGCCGACCAGTCCTTGTTGTACCCATTAATGCCGAGCGCCAGGCAGGGACCAACAAGTACCATATTTTAACGTCTTTTGGTATGACGCGGTCGGGGATCGAACCCGCGACCTTCCGCTCTCCGGGCGGACGCTCTAACCACTACACCACGGAGGCGGCCGTTTTTTAAAAAGATGGGCGGAGTGCACCCCACACTGGAACCGCCCGTGGTAAGTATCACCTAAATTTTACTTTGTGGTCGGAATCATGTACATGTATATGTTGCGAGGACTTGCCTTCAGTCAGACGATTTCGAAAAGCGACACATTTTACATTTATTACAATATCTCTGGTTGTACTATCATGTTGAAGAATATTTCCTTGAACTTGTTTTCCTACAGTTAACAGTGGTGGATATCGTACCTGATTCCATAGCCCTTTTGCAGCAAGCCGTATGGCGGGACGACTACACCTCGAAGGTGGGTAATCCGTTCAGGAAAAGTATTGATGTATATATCTTAATTATAATTATTTCTGGCGTTGAAAATGATAATCTTAAAAGCACAAAGGTTGTGTAAACACTTTTATTGATTTAACGTATTGTTAGGAGTTGATAGAACATACTGTGTTATAACAAACGAAGTATATAATATATGAAGATTAAGTGCCCTAATTTATTTCGATAATATTGCTGATTGGGACAAGATGTCTCCCGGTGATTGTCTCACGTTCAGACGCTTGAAAAGAGACATAGAAGGGAAATGTGTATTATGAAAGAGACTGAGATACATTTCACGAGAAAGTAGGACGGGATGGTTGATTAACGGATCAAACGTGAAGAAGGTAACTCGTTAGAAAGGGAGACAACCCTAAAGGTAATTTCCCGTATGTAGTATCACACATAGTTCGATACAAGCAGGAAATGATAAAAAGACGTCGAACTAATAACATTGCTTTTTCATAACGATTGCATTAATATCTTCATTTCAGTTATTTGAATTATTTGAATAAATGTAATTGGACTGATTTAAACTTTTAATATTAACTTCGCATTGAAATTAAGAACGCTTATTTGTATGAATTCGTGCCTCCATTTTGTCTTAAAACCGACACACATTCTGGTACTACATATGCTTTTTAATAAGTGCCATAGGTATCTGTAGCTCACCTAATTACAGATTTATTTTTGAGCCGTGAGAACGGCTATAATGAACGACAATATGTTGATTACGAACGCGCGACTGAGCGTGGTGCAAAGGAAGCTGTATTACCCGGAGAAGGATGAATTGACTGGTACGAGAACAAAGAAAGGATATTCTGCAAGAGCAATGCAGCGTTGGGCATTTCAGTTGTGTTCATATAGTATGCCTTGGGTCGATGATTGGCTTGCAACTACCAGAAGCCTGCATCAACGCGACAGAAGTGAGACCCACGCGAGGAAGGGAGATAATCCTAATAAGTTGACAAGCACAAACCGTTTGCAACAAGGTTTATTATCAATTTGTTTAAAGTATATATTTTTTTTGTTCATAATTACAACATTAATATAACTAATAAAGTATAATATTGGTTGTTAAAATACTTACTTAGATGTTTTAAACTTTTATATTTTATCCTGTATTGTAATTACTGGCGCTTAGGTATGAACATTCTTATTTTTCTATCGTTCTAAAAGCGACCATTTTTGTGGCACTACATATGCTATTAGCATGTGCCAAAGGTATCTGTAGCTCACCTTTTACAGAAATATATTTTGGGCCGTGAGAACGGCTACACAGGAATTAAAAGATAACGACGATCATTGTGTAAGTTTGTGATTGATTTGCGATAACTAGAGCGAGAACGAAACACAAGATCTAGCCTCTTACCAGGGTAAGTGTGTATACACTTCCGTGATTGCCATATACCGATTGTGACAGTAGTTTGAATGGGATCAGACTGCACTGTTTCCGGAGGAAAGTTTCTGTTATGTCAACAAACATTAATTATCTTGGGCTATTTATGTAGATGTGTATCGTTTACATCATGGCAGAGGTCTTGAAAATGAAAGTCATGAAAATGTTTGTGGATATGTGCTTCAAGAAAAAAGATTAATATATTCAGTCTTCAACGTTGTAAATGCGGAAACGTGTCAGTCACTATCCAGTGTTTGTGAACAGTTTGAATAAGATGTGCATGAACTGCAAATTTGCCCGACAACAATTCCTCCTCTGTTCCCTACATTACTCCCAAAACTCAGACTATGCGAGACAACAGTTATTGTCAAGCAACACATGATCTCTCGCTCGCGGGTATATACATATATCAAACGTACATATTACTTGTGTAGAATTATATGACAACCTTAGAGTAGACCCAGTGAAATCATTTCGTCATAGAAGTCATTCAGCATGTATATTTAGGACATAAAGCATACATATTGAGTGGATCAAAGGAAAAATCATTAATGCATTTAAACTTTACTGTAGAGGCAGTATTTCGTTTGCTATCGAGTCTTGCTTCGGTAATAAGCAAGAGCGCCGTGACGCGCAAATTATGTCCCCTTACACGCTAACAGGAGCTTCTCCTGCTGTCCTATACAGGTGATACCTCCCCAAAAAAAAAAAAAATAAATAAAAATAAAATAAAATAATAATTGATGAATAAATTAGAAATACTAGAAATAATTAATTAGATAAGGTTTCTGACAAAAAATTCCTTTTTATTGTATTTTACTTTGGCGAAGTTTCAGTTTCGGGTTGTCGTTTTTTCATCTTTCCTCCCACACTAACTCCTATATGGTAGAGGTACATTGTGGCAACGTTCATCCAGATGTGAAGATGTACGACATGTATTTATTGGTCAAGACTGACATTTATTACGCTGCTAACATTAACCCTCATGGTGTGTAAATCTTACAATGGTTATTGACGCCTCGTCTATTTGAGAGGGTTATCCGAAAATTAGGTGTAAAATAATATTTTCCGCAAATTCCAAAATAGCAAAAACAATTAGACCCTCATACAGAATAATTTATAGATCCATTTTTAAAAAAATCCCAAACTTGTGTTATTGTATCTGTGGGACTTCCACTAAATACAGCTAGCCTGTGGGTCTCATTGTTTACTGGTTCGTGTCAATTTGACCCGATCCGAAAGTCCCGACGCCAACTTTTGTCCCATCATGCAACACTGCCCATGTGAAACTGGACAAGATGGCGGCCAAGTTTAAAGTTGGAGATCTTGTGTGGTAAGTTTTGTCGAATTTTCGAAATACGATCTGGGAATCGCTTGTCATTTTATTTGCATATCGGAATATTTATGTTTCCCGTGATTTCGTTTCAGGGCAAAGATGAAGGGGTTCCCGGCCTGGCCAGGAAGGGTGAGTTTACGGTCACACCGGCAGCGGTTTGGGCTTCGCTTGCAAGCGCATTGTGTGTCAAACACCTTTCACCGGAATACGCATATTTACCTTCTGATCAGCGTGTAGACTCATACCTTTTATTGTCTAGGGTAATAGGGGCCATTTTTCATTACTGCATTAACAACATAATGTATATTTACCTCCAGAACCAGCAAAAACGATACGAAAATATTTTGACTTACACAGTTATCTCCCCTTAACCGACACACCAAGCACCTGCCAACAACCTGATCTCTAATGGGTTTCACTGTCACATTGAGATCTTCGTTTCTTTTTGTTTTTGGGGCAATTTAATTTATTTACTTCATGTAAAACTTCAATTATATTTTCCATTATTTTGAGAATAGTTTTCATTCACGTTTACATTACAAAAGACATTCTTCTATATTACCATCAGTATCACTTGTGTGTAATTGTAACTGATGTAGGTTATTTGTCACACAAATACAATCAACCTAAATTGTATAACTTTTGCTACCATTGTTTTAAAGGATGTAGTTACTTTATTATTTTTCATTTAGAAATTACAGACATCTATCAGATCTGATGAAGATATAATTCTCATTTATTAACGTATGTGATTCTTTAATTCAAACTTAGTTTTGGGTCAGTCTGCAATTTTAGACTGGAGGTTATGGGTAAGCTTATGATGAAAATGTTGGTTTACCATGCTGAAGATCTAAGTGTAATGTGTGAATGCCATTCTTGTTGTCCCTCGCTTTTATGTTTCTGGAATAATAATAATGATAAAACATGCATTTAAAACTGAACAAGGCCAACAAAAGTAATTTCATGTACGTCCAAATGTATATTCTTGTTTCTCTCAAGTTACGGAAATCACATACATAAAAACATACACACAAGCTCTGAGGGAAGGGGAGTTTGCAGAAGAGATGTTTATGGTGTGACTTGTTCAATTGACAGACTGATTCAAAGAATGTAATTGTGTAAACCAAAAGTACTCAGGAACAAGTGCCCATCTCCTTATATGTGATAATTAAAACAAACAATTAACTGGAAATATCTCAAGCAACCACCATTATGACAGAATATATAGAAAATAGCCACAGACCTTGTCACATGAACCTCGGTCACATGTATCACCTGCTCCTTGGAAGAAAATTGATCAGTTCTTGTTTTATGTAAGTGAGTGGTTGACATTCATAATGTTGAGACCCGGGTTAGAATTGATCTTTGGTAACCCAGACTTGTTGTTAGAGGCGACTAACGAGATCGGGTGGTCAGGCTTGCTGACTTGGTTGACACATGTCATTGTATTCCAATTGCATAGATCAATGCTCATGCTGTTGATCACTGGATTATCTGGTCCAGGCTGGATTATTTACAGACTGTCGCCAAATAGCTGTAATATTGCTGAGTCTTGCGTGTAAAGCTAAATTCAGTCAATCAATCATAACATTGCAGAAATGTAACACTCAGGTAATAAGATGCTAGACCTGCTGGGACATCATTCTGAAGAATTGTGCAATGTGAAAATAAGAACAAATTGTAATTGAGTATCATGTATTTATTGGTTTTGTTGTAACTACAGTTGATCTTCAAATGTTTTACTGGGGTAATTTCTTTGAAGGGTTGGGTGAATTTTCAAAGAATAGGTTTGTCACATTGATCTTGAAACTGTATGCTGTTTTGACATTTAGAGACAGGATAATATGTTGATTTTTAAATTTGTTTTCATTAGAAGGAATGATAATGACATGTTTAATGAACACTTTGTATTGTTTACTATAGTTTGTCCTTGTTTCCTGCCCCAGAATTATAGATGTTCATGGATTTCAACTGTTTTCAGTACCCCTATAGTTGCATGTTTTTACTGGTTAAATTAACGCTTGTGCCCATGTTACAGTTGGTATCACTGCGGAGATAAGTTTCTTATGTTCAAATGGGTCAGATCCTACATAATGAGACATGTTCTATATGTTGTTTGTGTAAGAAGTTATCCTTCGCACAAAATTATCCATCAACTGATGGAGCCCATTTCATGAGAATTGTCAATGCTGTCCTTGTATGACATGTTGTGAGACAAGAAACTGACTTGCAGTAGTGTTTAACTTAGTTGTGAACATATCGGAAAACTATCAACACTTATTGTAATTGTTAGATATCATTTGAGACCCAACTGAAGACCCACTATGCAAGTATTGTAATAATGATCTATGTCTGTTTGTTTATGAAAACTAATCCTATATTGCAGCTGAAAACCCCATTCAAACATATTTCCTCCATGGTATATGTTTTTCAGGTAATCCAGCCCAAGGATGAAGTGAAGCGTCCATCCAACAAGAAGCCTCATCATTTTGTCTTCTTCTTTGGGTCTGAGAACTAGTATGTATTCAGCTGTGTATTTCTTGCTAATGTTTCTGATTTGGATTGTTTCTGGTTATGCTGCTCTTTCATCAGCTAACAACAAAATATGACAACATTTATCATTCAGATGAGGCTGCATTCATAGTTGGAATGTCATCCAAACATAAATATCTAGTGTCTTTAGAGTTAAACCAGGATTTTTGTGAAGATAGTATTTGCATGTGTAATTTCGACAGTACTGGGTACAACTTTAGAAGTCAACCTTGGCACCAGACATGAACCCCTTGTCAAAGTGGTGTTTGTTGTCAACCTAGGCACCTGACGAGAACAACTTGCAGGGGTGGAAATAACCTATTGTCCAACATCCCAGTCCAGAGTTTTTTTCTGTCGGGCAAGCAAATTTGTGTATTGTGCTGTACCAGTGTCCAGTTGACTTTCCAATGTTAATTATGTTATTTACAAAATCAACAAGAAAATATGTTTTCTTTTGTTTATCGTCCGGTTCGCATTCGTTTTGGTCAGAAAATAATTCAGAGTTACCTTTCTTAGTTCCTAGTGCATGCTCAAATCTTTTTCATACAAGCTCCTAACACCGATGTCATTGTCCATGTTTGGGATTTTATAACATTGACATGCACTGTTGTGAGTTTGTTAGATATTTTTAATTTAAGCTCCGTGCATCGACTTTGCTATGCATATTGGCGATCTCAGTAAATTTACATGGGCTGTTGTGAGTTTGTTTGAATTCTTGGCAAACAATTTGCTTTAACAATTACGTCTGCTTCAATATTGGGATGTCAAAACAATGCTCGCTTGATGGATCTGGTTTTAATAGCGCCGCACCCACTAAAAATAAAATGAAGTAAATATAAAGAAAAACAAACTGTATGATAATGAAAAGAGGGAACATAAATTTCGAGCAATGTGGGCTGACCGTATCTATAGGTAAGGTACAATGAAGAGAAAGATGTCATGACATTTTATTGGGAGAGCTGAATACATTTCTGGAAGGCACTTCTCACTTTAGGATTGATTATATCATATAAATCATATTGTGCCTCTGATGTACATCGAGAATGTGAAATTTTTGACAAACACATCATAAAATCACAACGAAATTGGGGCATCTGGTGACCCAACTAGCAGTGGTAGTAGCAGAGAGGTCAATGCATCTAGTGGTCAGTCTGTGGCATGTCCTTTACTCAAAGCTTTCAAAATCTGGGATAAAACTGTCTATGGAAAAACTTTTGATTACAGCATTTCACATAGCTAGACAAGGGAAACCTCTCAGTGATTTTGAACTTACCCTTGATTTACCTGAATGTTTACTTGAATGTTGACATTGGCAATTCATACAGGAATCGTGCTGGTGCCAGAGAATTTGTAAAATCATATGTTGAATAACCTAAGAATGTATCGCCATGTTTAAAGAAGCTGGAAGGATATGTGACGGTTATCCTAGTGTGTCTCTATGTCTTGGATGCGAATGTCAGTCACTCAACGAGCAACTGTCAGATAAAATAGTTATGTTGAAACTTGAATGAACATAACAGCATTTGTCACACTATATTGTATCTGTGTCAAACTGAATAATTTCATCATAATGTTGTATCAATATATTTTACTGGTACAGTGGAAAAAATATCAGGCAGAGCTACAGATAACTTGTTGGGTCATTGAGTTATGTACTCGCTCTTGTTCATCTCAATTGGGTATCCTAATTTTCCTTTGAGTAACCAAATAAATTGCACTCACCTCACTCAAACTCAATTGGGTATTTTGCCATTTTCCATTAATTGTAAAAATATATATAATAAAGTTTAAATGTTAGTGTTTGTTATTTATATTTGATTTGTAATATGAAAAACGATAAGAAAGACTGCATGTTGTCAAATTTATGTCCTCTCTTTATACCTCAGTTATTTTATTCTTCCACCGGTTTGTAAGCTATGATTCGACATTTTTGTGTGTACGCATGTAAGATCACATTTATTCAGTATTTACAAATATTCAAACATACTGGTACACAAAAGACTTAATAGGAATTGAGTTCTTACATAAACATTTGCGTAATTTACACAGATACGCAGCTTATCTGTACCTCTGTATCAGGGCAAGTGATGTCACATGGGCCACTGTCCCAATGTACACTAGCAATTTTAAAGTTGTTTCCACCCCTGACTTGTCAAAGTGTTGTTTGTAGTCAACCTAGGCACCAGACAAGAACCCCTTGTCAAAGTGTTGTTTGTAGTCAACCTAGGCACCAGACAAGAACAACTTGTCAAAGTGTTGTTTGTCAAGTCAGGCACCAGACAAGGTCAAAGTGTGTTGTTTGTAGTCAACCTAAGCACCAGACAAGAACCCTTGTCAAAGTGTTGTTTGTAGTCAACCTAGGCACCAGACAAGAACCCCTTTGTCACCCTTGTCAAAGTGTTGTTTGTAGTCAACCTAGACTAGCAACCTGTCAAAGTGTTGTTTGTAGTCAACCTAGGCAGACAAGAACCCTTGTCAAAGTGTTGTTTGTAGTCAACCTAGGCACCTCAGACAAGAACAACCTGTAGGCACCAGACAAGAACAACCTGTCAAATGTTGTTTGTAGTCAACCTAGGCACCAGACAAGAACCACTTGTCAAAAGTGTTGTTTTTGTAGTCAACCTAGGCACCAGACAAGAACCAACCTGTCAAAGTGTTGTTTGTAGTCAACCTAGGCACCAGACAAGAACCCCCTTGTCAAAGTGTTGTTTGTAGTCAACCTAGGGCACCAGACAAGAACAACCTTGTCAAAGTGTTGTTTGTAGTCAACCTAGGCACCAGACAAGAACAACCTGTCAAAGTGTTGTTTGTAGTCAACCTAGGCCAGACCAGAACCACCTGACAAAGTGTTGTTTGTAGTTGGTCAAAGTGTTGTTTGTAGTCAACCTAGGGCACCAGACAAGAACCCAAAGTGTTGTTTGTCAAAGTGTTGTTTCAACCTAGGCACCAGTCAACCTAGTGTTGTTTGTAGCAACCTAGGACAGAAGAACCACCTGTCAAAGTGTTGTTTTGTAGTCAACCTGACAAGAACATCTTGTCAGCAAGTTGTTTGTAGTCAACCTAGGCACCAAAGTGTTGTTTGTCAAAGGCACCAAGTCGTCACAGTGTTTTGTAGTCAACCTAGGCACCAGGACAAGAACTGTCAAAGTGTTGTTTGTAGTCCCTTGTCAAAGTGTTGTTTGTAGTCAATAGTCAACTTAGGCACCAGACACTGTCAGACAAGAACAACCTGTCAAAGTGTTGTTTGTAGTCAACCTAGGCACCTGTGACAAGAACCGAACCTGTCAAAGTGTTGTTTGTAGTCAACCTAGGCACCCAGAGTGAGAACAACCTGTCAAAACAATAGGCACCAAGAGCAACTACTAATGTCAAGCGCTGTTTGGTCAACCTGACTAATCAACCTATGCCCTATGTGCTTGCAGTGCATGGATCCCAGAAGAAAGTATACACCTGTATGCTGACAATCGCAACAAGTACAGCCTCACGTCCAGAATCCCTCGCGGCTTTAAGGAGGCCATTGAAGCTATAGAGGATGCGCTCAAAGCTCTGCCAGCCAGTGTAAGCTAATGTAGAATTGTGCACACCATTGTGGCCTTGTTTCAGATGTCTTGTATTTTGACATTAACAGACAGTTTGAGAAATCTCCTTCTGCGTCTCACCTGGTATGATAATAATTGCATGGTCAAGTTTTGACTCCCATCAGTCAGAGAATATTTGGTCTTGAAAATGTGAGTGGTTCGCAGGTTCTCTTCTCTTGACCACTTGGTATATTTTCTTTGCTTGATGTTGGGTTCTTCAAAATGTCAGTGGTATATGGCAATACGATTTTGCTTGAAGTTTTACAATTAAGTTTTGAAAATAGATTTCCCTGATTATGTTTTCTAAGGAGTTAATTAATGCTTTCTGTAATGTCAGAATAGAAGTTTGATGAAGATGATTAGACTGAGTTAGCACTGAAGATTTCATTACTTGGGATGCTTTAATACCATCAGAAATTGTTTCGGGTTGTTTTTACTTGAAACATCTTGTACATATTTCACTTACCATATGAAGGTGATTGCTAGTAAAATCCCGGACAGCTTTATCTGGCATGAGTGAAGTTTGTACTTACAATGCTTGGTGTATTCTGCTGTTAGACAAGTGATGTCATGTTAGACTACTTGTGCAGCCCAGCAAGCACTGATAGTCGGGACCAAGGTATGTCCTCTTTCAGGTGGCTGTCAAGACCTGTGAACTGCCTTCTATAGATGAAGAGCTGGCTCAGATCTTCCCAACAACCGGCACAAAAAAAGACGGAGCAGCTCACAGAGACTACTCCAGGGAACCCTTAGCTGGCAAGAAGGTAAGTCCACTTGCAGGGACCATTTGCAGCATCAGCATTGCCCTCTATAGACAAAGAATACTCAGGCAGAGCATGGGATCTCACTGAACTGACTTACTAGAGCAACCTGGCTAGATAGGTGCTTGTTGTCTCAAAGAACTGGAATATCTGGCTGAGGCAGCTCGTTGGTAGGTTCAGTTGGAACTGAATCATCTGGCTAGAGGCAGCTCGTTGGTCAGATAGTTGCTAAGTTGGTCTCAAAGAACTGAATCATCTGGCTAGAGGCAGCCCATTGGTCAGATAGTTGATAAGTAGAGGAGGCAGCTCGTTGGTCAGATGGTTGATAAGTAGGTCTCAAAGAACTGAATCATCTGGCTAGAGGCAGCTCGTTGGTCAGATAGTTGATAAGTTGGTAAGTTGTCTCAAAGGAACTGAATCATCTGGCTAGAATTGAATCATCTGGCTAGAGGCAGCTCGTTGTCAGATAGTTGATAAGTAGGTTCATGGAACTGAATCATCTCGCTAGAGGCAGCTTGTTGGTCAGACAGTTGCTAAGTTGGTCTCAAAGAACTGAATCATCTCGCTAGAGGCAGCTCGTTGTCAGATAGTTGATAAGTAGGTTCATGGAACTGAATCATCTGGCTAGAGGCAGCTTGTTGGTCAGACAGTTGCTAAGTTGGTCTCAAAGAACTGAATCATCTCGCTAGAGGCAGGTCGTGGGTCAGATAGTTGATAAGTAGGTCTCAAAGAACTGAATCATCTGACTAGAGGCAGGTCGTTGGGTCAGATAGTTGCTAAGTTGGTCTCAAAGAACTGAATCATCTGGCTAGAGGCAGGTCGTGGGTCAGATAGTTGCTAAGTTGGGTCTCAAAGAACTGAATCACCTGACTAGAGGCTGCTCGTTGGTCAGATAGCTGCTAAGTTGGGTCTCAAAGAACTGAATCATCTCGCTAGAGGCAGCTTGTTGGTCAGACAGTTGCTAAGTTGGTCTCAAAGAACTGAATCATCTCGCTAGAGGCAGCTCGTTGTCAGATAGTTGATAAGTAGGTTCATGGAACTGAATCATCTGGCTAGAGGCAGCTTGTTGGTCAGACAGTTGCTAAGTTGGTCTCAAAGAACTGAATCATCTCGCTAGAGGCAGCTGGTCAGATAGTTGATAAGTAGGTTCATGGAACTGAATCATCTGACTAGAGGCAGCTTGTTGGTCAGACAGTTGCTAAGTTGGTCTCAAAGAACTGAATCATCTCGCTAGAGGCAGGTCGTGGGTCAGATAGTTGATAAGTTGGGTCTCAAAGAACTGAATCACCTGACTAGAGGCAGCTCGTGGGTCAGATAGTTGCTAAGTTGGTCTCAAAGAACTGAATCATCTGGCTAGAGGCAGGTCGTTGGTCAGATAGTTGCTAAGTTGGTCTCAAAGAACTGAATCATCTGGCTAGAGGCAGGTCGTGGGTCAGATAGTTGATAAGTTGGTCTCAAAGAACTGAATCATCTGGCTAGAGGCAGGTCGTTGGTCAGATAGTTGCTAAGTAGGGTCTCAAAGAACTGAATCATCTGGCTAGAGGCAGGTCGTGGTCAGATAGTGCTAAGGGGTCAAAGAATAGTTGCTAAGTTGGGTCTCAAAGAACTGAATCATCTGACTAGAGGCATCTGGCTAGAGGCAGGTCGTGGATCAGATAGCTGCTAAGTTGGTCTCAAAGAACTGAATCATCTCGCTAGAGGCAGGTCGTGGGTCAGATAGTTGATAAGTTGGGTCTCAAAGAACTGAATCACCTGACTAGAGGCAGGTCGTTGGTCAGATAGTTGCTAAGTTGGGTCTCAAAGAACTGAATCATCTGGCTAGAGGCAGGTCGTGGGTCAGATATTTGATAAGTTGGGTCTCAAAGAACTGAATCATCTGACTAGAGGCAGGTCGTGGGTCAGATAGTTGATAAGTTGGGTCTCAAAGAACTGAATCACCTGGCTAGAAGGCAGGTAGTGGGTCATATAGTTGCTAAGTTGGTCTCAAAAAGAAGAATCATCTGACTAGAGGCAGGTCGTGGGTCAGATAGTTGATAAGTTGGGTCTCAAAGAACTGAATCATCTGGCTAGAGGCAGGTCTTGGGTCAGATAGTTGCTAAGTTGGGTCTCAAAGAACTGAATCATCTGGCTAGAGGCAGGTCAGATAGTTGCTAAGGGTCATAAAGAACTGAATCATCTGGCTTGTTGAGGTAAGTTAAGGGTCTCAAAGAACTGAATCATCTGGCTAGAGGCATATAGGTCAGTTGGGTCAGACAGCTACTAAGTTGGGTCTCAAAGAACTGAATCATCTGGCTAGAGGCCGGTCGTGGGTCAGACAGCTACTAAGTTGGGTCTCAAAGAACTGAATCATCTGGCTAGAGGCCGGTCGTGGGTCAGACAGCTGCTAAGTTGGGTCTCAAAGAACTGAATCATCTGGCTAGAGGCAGGTCGTGGGTCAGATAGTTGATAAGTTGGGTCTCAAAGAACTGAATCATCTGGCTAGAGGCGGTCGTAAGGGTCAGACAGTCAGATAAGTAAGTGGGTCTCAAAGAACTGAATCATCTGGCTAGAGGCAGGTCGTGGGTCAGATAGTTACTAAGTTGGGTCTCAAAGAACTGAATCATCTGGCTAGAGGCCGGTCGTGGGTCAGATAGCTGCTAAGTTGGGTCTCAAAGAACTGAATCATCTGGCTAGAGGCAGGTCGTGGGTCAGATAGTTGATAAGTTGGGTCTCAAAGAACTGAATCATCTGGCTAGAGGCCGGTCGTGGGTCAGACAGCTACTAAGTTGGGTCTCAAAGAACTGAATCATCTGGCTAGAGGCCGGTCGTGGGTCAGACAGCTACTAAGTTGGGTCTCAAAGAACTGAATCATCTGGCTAGAGGCAGGTTGTGGGTCAGATAGTTGTCCCTAATGTTTGAGGACAAAGACATTTCTGTTCAGTCAACTGCAGGCTGCATTACTGCAAGGTTCTGTTACAAGACAGGATTTAAAAAGCAGTTCATGTGATTTTAAGTCCAAATTCTAAACCAAGGAAGATACCAATTGGCTACATTGTTTTCAGGTACGTGTGTTCTCAGAGCACCACATGAAAGAGATGAGAAGTGATGGAAAGAGGGAAATCTGTTATTTGATCTTTAGGATTAAGGTTGCAGACTTTTGGTTAAATACTTCAGCTGCTATAGCATGGTTGGTTTTGTCTATTGTCTATGCAGGTTAGGTTTGTTGATCTGAGTACCACGGGGGCTTACATCACTAGTGAAAGTTGGCAGCTCTGTACACAGCAAGTCCTCTAGCATCACCCTGGGTTAGATGTTACTGTATAAAGACCTCAGTGGGTTAAAGTAGAACTACTTCGTGTACGTGATGTTTTGTTATATATCCCCCTTAACCACAGTCCTGTGGTAAAACGTTATAAATGGGTTGGTGAGTGTTTGACATGTCACCTCCACCTACATCCACCCCAGCTGCTCACTGCCTCTCACTGCTAGATCTGCACTTCTCAACTGGTCTCAGTTATACTCTATGTCACTGCAGTACCTGCTCCTCTATACATCATATTTTTCCATATCCTGACTCATGCCAGTTATGCTTGTCTCCTCCTCCTTGCAAATGATAGTGGAACACTTGAAATCCCTTGAAGTTCCCTTCTAAAAAAGCGGACATAAAATCACTCACCCATGAGTAGCGTCCCTTTCCTCCCTTTTGGCGTCCAAATGGTCTCATGATCGGCCATATTTGTCACTCTCTCCTTCTTCGCCCTTGAGGACGGTTGTGAGAGCACCTGGGTCCCTATATGGCACATATCCTTTTATATTTTCGGACCTTACATCAAAATTATTGCTGTATATGGTTTTAAGGATTATATTCTACATTACGGTTTGAAATTTGATCTAAATTTTCCGTTGTTTGACATATGTTTTCTTCATAATTACATTTGATGAAAACTTGTATTAGATTGTAGGTACCGACCTTCTATCAAGTGTCTGTGGCTGACCCTCATTTATTATGTCCTGATTGCACTGTTTCATGTTCTTTCAGCTCTTGCTGTAAGTTTTGTGTAAATATATCTTCAGGAGAAGTTTGAATTTAATAATTACCTACAGACTTTTTCCATCCATAGGCGTGCTAAGGACTGGAGTCAAAACTCCGAAGGTATTCACAAGTCATGTCTAAATCGAGTGATTGCGCTGATAACCGTGTGTTAACCACTGCTACAGATATTCATAATTCCAGTGAATTGCCGAACGTTTCTCGGGAGCAGGTCGATGTACCAGGGGTGAACGCCGGAGGCCATAAGAGATCATCGTCTACTGAGCTGACCTCATCGCAGATGAAGAAGGCTAAATCATCATCTTCGCAAAAGAAGGCTACTACCATGAAGACTTCAGTGAAGTCTTAGATCAGCTCTACACAGAAGACAAGGTCTTTCTCAGCCGAGATTGTTCCTCCGGAAGAATGTGGTAGTTTAATACCTGAAGTCACCATCGTCAGTAAGAAGACGAAGCCTGCTTCTACAGCTACATCGGCATTGTTATCAGCGCAAGAATTGACAGAAGACCTATCAACGCAGACATCAGGTACCAGAGATAGCAGCAGCGTCAACTCTTTACAAGTGCAGCGAGCCTTAGATGATGTCTCTTCAGTATCAGATGTATCATCCCTGCAGCAGTCTCTTCAGACAACGCAGAACTTCAACCCCGGGACTGTTCATGCAACAGTTTACAGACCAGATGAGCTCCTAGAGGTAGCCCCGGAAGAGGCCGAGCACCTAGGGGTGCAAGAGGAATCTAGTGCTGAAGACCAGGTTCAGAACGACTGGAGTCTTCCACCCCAAGACGTTCCTGTATAACCTTCGACAGTGGGTGGACATCTTCAACGTTACTGGGAGAATTGGGGACTACTACAGGACGACTACGTATCCTAGATACTGCGCAGAGGATACAAGATACAGTTGGAAGCCACTCGGTCGCTAACAAGCAACCCGATGGCCTTCATCTATGCAGCTGACCAGATAGAGAAACTGGACAATGCTATCAAGACCCTTCTCGACAAAGAGGCAGTAGAAGAAATAGATCAAGATCTCATCACGCCCGGGTTTTACTCCCCAATTTTCCTGGTACCGAAGAAGAATTCCAAGGAGAAATTTCGGCTCATCTACAACATGAAGAAGTTCAACCGGGAGTATCTACGCAGACCAGCATAATTCAAGATGATACATCTTCCTCAGCTCCGATATCTTGTTTGTCCAGCAGACTACCTCGCCAGCATAGATCTACAAGATGCGTACCTACACATCCTGATACATCCAGACTCAAGAAAATACCTACGATTCCTTTTCAACGGACATCACTTCCAGTGGAAGGTTTTACTGTTTGGAATATCGTCGGCCCCGTGGTTGTTTACTCGAGTGACCAAGCCCATCGTCATATATCTACATCGTCGAGGTCTACGCAATGCTTTCTACCTGGACGACGGTATTCAAGCTCATCACAATCCCAATCAACTCAGACTGCAACTAGACTTCACCATCAGGCTGTTCACTCAACTAAGTCGCAACTGGAGCTGAAACAAAATCTGCAATTTCTAGGAATTGGACTCATCACACCAGTGAATCGCATAGTCGTTCCAGAGGATCGTTGGGTCAAGATACAACAGATGATATTTCAAGCATTCTCTCCGTTGACACTACGTGCTTGACAAAGCATGCTCAGTCTGCTCACCTCAGCTCAAGACATGACTCGCAGAGGGAGATTACAGTTGCACCCACTACAACACCCACCTAGACAGTCTAGATCCGTTAATACTACCGGACAGCCTGAAACCATATCTCCTATGGTGGACTCGGAAGTCGAACGTTTGCGGAGGAACCTTTTTTCAGAGCCGGTTTGCAACACTCATCTCTACGTGGATGCCTCCCTAAAAGGATGGGGTGCGCACTTCAACAAGAAAGTTGCAGCAGGAAAGTGTTTGAGTCAGGATCAGAAGTCACACATCAATCTGTTGGAGATGAAAGCAGTAATCAACGCTTTACAACATTGGTCCAGCATACTAAAGAACGCACGACTCATGGTACACACGGACAACTCCATAGTGGCGTTTTACATCAACAAACAAGGGTAAACAAGATCAACAAGTCTGCTATATCTCAGCTTTCTCCTGTTCAGCATAGTCGACGACCTGAACATCTACATGAAGGCATGCCACATTCCGGAGCAAAGAATGTCATAGCAGATGCCCTGTCTCGTCCACTACAACCATCCCCGACAGAATGGATGTTGCATCCAGAAGCATTCCAGTTCATCAGACAGACTATAGGATCCCCACTAATAGACCTGTTTGCAACAAAGCTCAACAAACAGCTACCAATGTTCGTCTCACCGATTCCAGATCCTCAGGCATCTCATGGGAAGGACTAAACGCTTACGCGTTTTCGCCTCCTGCACTGCTACCACAAGTACTACAGAAAATCAAGCAGACGACTACGTTGCTAACCCTGAAACTACCAGCGTGGTTGGACCTACTCGTCCATCCACACACCAAGCAAGCTCACGGGAACCTGACACTGTTCCAGCTACATGCGTGGAGCGTATTAAAGCTTTCCTGAAGATTAGAGGGTACTCAGCCAGAGCAGCGAAAGCAGTTAAACTAGCTCTATGCAGATCAACTCGCAACTTGTATGACAACAAGTGGTAGAGATTTGAACAATATGGAAAGAGGAAAGGCCTTTACAGCGGTGAAAGCAACACATCCTCAAGTGGCAGAATACTTATGTCATCTACGACAGGCGAGACACTAATAGGGTTCAACACTCTCAACTTACTTAGCTGCCCTCAGTACAGTTATCACCATGAAAACGGGCATCAAGCTGATCTGGCACTACTACGCTCGTTCAAGTTGGAAGACCAACAAAAGAAATTTAAGGCTCCTGTCTGGGATCTCAACATAGTTCTACAAAATCTCACCAGTGATGCCTACGAGCCTCTAGAACGGACCTCCTTTGAACTACTAACTCAGAAAATACTGTTCCTGATCGCCCTAGCAACAGCTGCCAGGATGTCAGAAATACATGCTCTGGAGTTTGAACGAACACGATTTGAATCAAGATATCTTGACATCGTACATCTTGGACTGAGATGGGATTTTATCACCAAGAACCAACTGCCTGGTCAGCTTGACAGACAGTTCCACATCACAGCACTATCTACAGTACTTGGGCCACAGCATATGTAAGATCTATCCTTATTCCCAGTCGGAGCACTTAAAGTGTACTTACAGAGAACTAAAACAAGGAGACGAAAATTCAAGCGCCTATTCATCCCCTTATCCACCGGGATGCCCAGGGAAGTCTCTCGGACAACGATTACAATCTGGATGAGAGCCGTTATACTAAGGGCCTATAAAGCAGCAGGACTTGAGCCTCCACGAGCTTCTAATCCACATGAAGTCAGAGCCCTAGCGTCAACACTTGCTCTGCGCAGACACTGCTCGATTACAACTACCGGTATAATGTAGGGCTGCTTTGGGAGATCGAACACGGTGTTTGCCAACCACTTCCTCAGAGACATTGCCATCGAAGATGTCTCAGGCGTTCACCAGTTTGGGCCACTTGTTGTAGCACAAAAACTAACGGTTCCACGAAGGTGTTGAGTAAATCTCACCCCTTTTATCACGTGAGTTGTGAAAAACAATGCTCTGGAGAGCAATAGCTGTAAGTCCATGCACACGTCTAGGACGTAGCATGAGGATAGACGTATAGGACATACTTGTACATGAAGAAGGGTCGCATCTCCACTTGATGCGCGCATCAAGAGATGGAGTTGCAATAGATAACTAATGGAATATTGGTATATCTAAAATCCACACGAAAATGTCAGGAGAAGTTTCGGAAGAAATCTGACAAGTTGTGGTCCCCCCCAGACTCATCAGAGAGAAGTTGAAAGAACAGAATCTTCAACAGTGCCGTCATAAGTTCCCAAGGGGGGTAATACAGGACGTAAATCTACAACCAGTGAATCCAGAACGTGGCCTGACCCACCACCGTTTCCGACGGATTCTGCAAGCATAATTCACATGAGTCAGGATAAGGAAAAATATGTAATTTTCTGACTAAAATTGATATTTTATACTTATCCTGACTCATGAGGTTAGCCCTCCCAACCTCCCCTCTTATGGCACTCTGAATTTCCCTGTAAATCCGGGTGTCGGGCTTACATACGGAGAGAGAGACAAATATGGCTCCGATCATGTGAGCCATTTGGGGAGGAAAGGAGGAAACGCTACTCTCGTGGGTGAGTGATTTTATGTCCGCTTTTGGAAGGAAACTTCAAGGGATTTCAAGTGTTCCACTATCATTTGCAAGAGGAAGGAGACAAGCATAATTAGCATGAGTCAGGTATGAGTATAAGTATAAATTAACAATTTTAGTCAGAAAATTACATCATTCAGTTAGTGAACCACAATTTCTTTGTAGCAGTTAGTCATCCTTTCTCTTCTATACTTGGTTGTGTATTGTGTGTGTGTGTGTATGTGTCATCTCACTTCCATAAGAAGAAAATAGGTTGTTTATTTGGAATTAATGAATTATTCAGATATGATACAAAATGAAGTGAAGTGCTGGGAAACACATCTCCTTCCATGGGATGAGTATTATTTGAAGTGTGTGTCCTATTATCATCATCATCCTTTACCCATCATATTGCATAAGTGTTGGCACACAACATTGTTGATCATCTTTCATGAGCTTCTATCATCTGCTTAAATACCTTAACTTCATGTGTGATTGTTTAATGTTCCTCCTGACCCATATGCTTGCATGATCAGCCTCCTCTTTGTACCCTGCAGGGATGCACTTGATGTGGTTCCCAGCTAGGCACAGTCCAAACTTGTGCATTGCAAACGCTGTTTCTTGGAGAAAACCATCTATCATTCATGTTGAAAATAACTTTATAACTGTCTCATCACTGATAGCAGTAAGTGCATTCCTGCATGTGTGTCTGTCTGATATTTTGTAATCTTTGTGTGCATGGCTCTAACCTCTTTAGTTGCTTTGCTTTGTCCCAACTAGTCAAAGAAAGGCGTAGAGGAACGCCGGTCATCGGCGCCGGTCGGGAGTGGCCGGAGGAACCTGAACAGTAGGCGCAGGTCAGGGGAGTCTGCAGAGAGACGCAGGTCGTCTAACGTTATCAATGGCACAAGCAAATCACGCGATTCGTCAGTAGATAGCGTTGTCAAGAAGGTGAGAGCCTTGGCAACAACATTGTTATAGTAAACATGAATCTCATTTGGAAAGTGTGTTTTGTCTACTGTTGCCATGGAGGCGGGTAGCAACACTAGAGGCAAACAGGGTTAACTCTAAAGCATGTTTGAAAGCCAGTTAAATTGTCTGTAACGATGGTGTGTGTGTATACCTCACCTGCACCAAAGGTGTTGTTGTGAGCTTATGTATGGCCTGTTGTCTGTTGTGTAGTATCTGAAGTATTCAGAAGTCTTATACAGTGAAACCTGCATAGATGATCCAAACAGTTACAGTGACATTCGTGAAGTTTTTATTCTGATTGTTTCCTTGGTTTCATTTTTGTCAATATGTTTTGTCATGTCATGAAAGGTAGTGAAAACTTCCTGTGCTGTGTTCTTCAAGAACTAAAAACTTCTCACAGAAATGCACTTATGTTCTGCGTAGGTGAACCAGAGCCATGTGAGCAATGTCAGTTCCGCTCCTAGTTCAATCCAAGAAGTTTCCTCATTTATGGCATGCTAGCTTTTCCTGGAGCCCAGAAGTAGTGTCTATTCTGTGGTGTCTGATTCCAAGAGCAAGATTTATCAGGCAGACAGTAAGAAACTGGTACAATTGAATACTGGCATGCCTCTTTCACTTCTTTGAGTGGCATTTTAGAAGTTAGGACATACAATATTGAACAAACTTATTTAGCCTCAACAAAACAATGTTAGATGCTTTGAAGAATCTTCAGACTGACCCAGAGAATGTCTAAGACAAGCCATCCACTAGAGCCTTTCGTAGACCTTTGGAAGACCATGTTTTCAGTTCAGTCATGGTCACGGATCCAGGGGATCTTTATACTATCAGTGAAAGGAAACTAATGAACAAGTGGGATCTTGTTCAAGTACTGCTATGAAATGGATGTAGAAGGCGGCCTAAATACATGAGGATTTGGAAGATCCTGAGGATGTTCTTTAGACATTTCCTAACAAGTATCTCCTCCTTGATGAAAGCAGGTATACTCAGAATACCAGAACCTACAGGGCAGCAGGTATATTCAGAATGTACAGGGCAGCAGGTATACTCAGAACCTACAGGGCAGCAGGTAGGGGTTCTCTCAGAATGTACAGGGCAGCAGGTATACTCAGAACCTACAGGGCAGCAGGGATCCAACCCACATGAAGTCAGGGCTACTCTAGCAGTTTACAGTAACTGCTCCCTCCTGGGACCATTACTGAATGCTGCTTGTGGAAGTGGATGAATTCTTTTTCTCCACAAAATCATAAGACTTGCTCCTTTCCACCAAAAGGAGGTGGTACCCCACATGAACACAGGAACAGAAATTGTAATCATGTCCTCATCTTGGTTCACAGAACACGTAACAGTTGTCACAAATATAGTTGGAACCCACTACCTTCTCTTGAAATTTCTACAATTAGTTGGGATATTTTAAAGATGTTTGTACAGTAAAAATATTGTTTTTCTTATCCTGACTCATATTCTACAGTTCCCTCCCACTGGCTCTACCCTTTAGTGGTGTTTGTTTTTACCTTTATGTAAGAAAATGGACAGGGTGGCTAATCAGCTCTACTGGCCAAGTTATGCTGCCTGGCGCTGAACAAGGATGCATTTGGATGAAAAGATGTTCTTTTCTTGGTGAACACAGCTCACGAAGTGTGCAATACCTTTGAGGAATAGAGACAAGATATGATCAGTATAATTATAAATGACACTTTTAGCCTATGAAATATATTTTATGAAAAGTCTTTTAAACTCAACCAAAGGCGATTTCAAACATTGATATTATGCTCTGAGTAGTGTACCATCTACAGGGATGAGAATTTTCCGCGCATCCACGGAATTCTGGGAATTTCATAAGGCCAAGGGTCATTTTTGTGAATTGTCCAAATCCGTTGACAATTGTATGAATGTGCTTCAGCAGATTTAAAGTTTTTAAATGGTTGCTGTGTTTATGATATTTTCATTTCTGAGCCAGTTTTAAAGGTCTAAAATGCCTAAATATCAGCAGTTTTGGCTAGTTTTCAGAGTTTTTCTCAAAACTTCATTCTCATCCCTGAATCTACAAATAAACTAAAATCAGAGACCATTTGATTCTGCTTGTACTACAAGGCTTTGACTTTCATCTGTCGATTGTTAACAAGTCATTAAAGTGTTATTTATTTGAGAGCATGATATTTCACGGGCCACTTCATTTGCTCTAGGAATGACAGTGAAATAATGTTTTTAATAGCTTTGGTAAACATTTAAGTATTTCTTGTCGTGTAGAACTTTCCTTCTTTACTTTGATCATGGGAAGCCAAATGATCACCAAGATATGAGACGTGAACTTTTTGGCCTTTCGGATGTGTATTTCACGACAGGCACCTTAACCCTCCATGACTATGGGTACTTATGCATACTGGACTGTCCTCCCAGCTCCCTTCCGCATCCAGGATTGCTGTATCTTTTGGCTCTCCATGTGCTTCAGCACCTACCAGTTTTGGGTGTGTTTTGAGGTCAGTCAACTTGACCAAGAGTTCCTGGCAGTGATCGTGGTGATAGACTACCGGAAACAGCGAAGAGTCCAAGGCACTCCCAATATTTGACTGCTGTGAGGTACAACCATCAGATTTTAGTGCTCATTCCCAGAGAACTGTTTGCATCAGATTGGTATAGGTGAAAGTGTTCCCTAAACAGATTGCAGGAAACAGTGTCATGGAAATGTGTCACCATAGGAGACTTTTCTCAGCCTTCTGCACGACGAGGATCAGACTAATGTCCATAAGGAACTACTTTGTGTTCTTGCAAGTTTCAGGAAGTTACATGGTGGTACCATAGGGAGCTTCAGAAGTCTACTCCTTCCGAGAACCTCATACGTGTAGCACTGTGCTGTTGGAGGTCAGAAGACACTGTTCAGACCTCTGACCTTGACCTACAGGCTCTGGTACCCCAGATATGCTAACTGAAAGAGCAGACAGAGTGGTACAGTCTTTGACCCAGTGGATGCAGCTCAAATAGAAGTTAGCACGGCACTCGATATGAAAGTTCGCCTGAGCCTCATGTGTAATTTGTACCTTCAGACACTAGCAGCTAGAGGAGTTTTATCAAATTTCATAATGTTACAGCAATCGTCAGTAGTAGGGAATGATGACACAACCTGGCTTTATGCCCTGAATGTGCACTTAGTCAGAAGTAGGAAATGACAAGACCACTTGGTCTGGTTCCTTACTGGATTGGACTAGCGTCATGTATCACAGACAGACTCTGTCTCAGATATGTGGATGAATGAGGATGTCTCAATAAACATCAAATGGAATATCAAGCTATTTCACTACAGGTGGAAGTCCTGTTCCTCCCATCATCACATGTCAGAATCTGTGAAGCAGGTGCTTCACCACAAGAATAGCACGTTAGAATAAGAATGTCTGATCCAGTCTCATCCACACACAATCTGGTGGCTTGTACCAATACCAGATGCAAACCTCACCTCCAACTGTGAGATACACGCAGTATGGTATGTCAGGATAACCATTAATGCTTTCTTACTGATGAATATCCTGACCCAACAAGTTTCTGGCCAACCCATCCATGGATATCAAGATATGTGCTGATGAAAAGCGAGTGACGGTAAACAGCAGGCATATCAGACGTAGACAAGGGATGTTTGGGATCTTTGTGATATGATCATTCTAAAGCAGGAAATTGTATTGTTTCTGGATTAGCATACCAATATCCTCAGTGAGGGAGTTTAGTTTTACGCCGCACTCAGCAATATTCCAGCTATATGGCGGCAGTCTGTAAATAATAGAGTCTGGACCAGACAATCCAGTGATCAACAGCATGGGCAATGATCTGCGCAAGTCAGCCATCCTGACCACCTTATCCTGTTGGTTGCCTCTTACGACAAGCATGGGTTACTGAAGAATATTCTAACCCGGAAGTTCACGGGTCCATTATCCTCAGTACACACACCACTTTTAATAGTCATTGTATATAAAGCTATATGAGTTGACCATATGTTAGGAAACATACAGGGAATTCAAGTTGACCTCTGATATGACACATATTACCTGTACAATATGGACTTTGATCATGGTAGAGTGGAGATAATCCTACTGTCCAGTGAACTGATCAGTTTCCAAATATGATTAATCAACCTAATGTTACTATGGACATAATTACAGTGCTTTAGATTTTTTATGATATATTAACATCTTGAATCAATTTTTCAAACTTCTAACTTGAAATGCTACTTAGTTTATGTCGTGAATGTGAACCTAGTTTTTATCCATCACAGGAGCTACTGCTGGCTACGCAGTGTGTATGAGTGAGTTGAGTGTATGGAGAGTGCAGTGTATAGGTGACAACATACTGTCCTCAACATGGCAGGGGGAACCCATGATGGTGTTGTTACTCATGGAAACCAGGCTGGTTTTTTGTCATATTTGTTACTTTTCCGTTTCTCTATCGATCTTAACCCTTTCTTTTTAGAATTCCATCTGTAATAAGTGAGCTGCAGAGTCTTATGGCTATGATTTGTTCTGTGAGCTGCTTTTATTAATGCTGAACATGTTATCCAGTCACTGACTTGCAGGAGTTCATGACTGCTGAACATTACCTATGAGAAAGATAATTGTTAAAAACTGGAATCTACTAATGTTTCATTCTATCTTTTTAGAGATTTCATTCTTCTGCAAACCACATTATGATGCTTTCACCATGCTGTGTGACCTGTGAAGTTTAAGTGTGTGATCCATGAGGTTTAAGTGTGTTTCCTGTGAGGTTTAAGTATGGAATAAACCAAAGGGAGATAAGGGCTGTGGCTTTTGTAGATCAGTGTATCTAGTGTTATCTAGTACTATGTTATGTTTTCACAATATGTCCAAGTATTGATGAACCAGAATTGAGATATTCATAAGATGTTAGCATGAAGCTTGACATCGGCATGTTTGTATCCTTGCTTGTTTGAAATCTTCAGTGAAACTCATTATTCATCTTTGTTTTATATGTTTTTTTCTTCCACACTGTTATGACCAACACCCTGGAACCATGGAACACATGACTGACTCACTCAATGGTTGTCTTAGAGCAACCTATATTTGACTAGAATTCACTATTCACTTCAATTCAATAGACTTTGTCAAGATGGAGGATGGCCTCATCAGTAGTCAGGCTGGTGTTTCATCAGCGTTCAGTGTTATAAGAGGCCATGTGTTGAGATACTACTACCGTATCGGACAGATGTAGCTCATGTATCTGATGCTACACTGGCATATCTAAACATATATCCAAGGCATACTGTTTCAACTAGGCATAGTATATCGAGAGTTTAATACATTTGCATGTGTATTTTAAACATGTTCTGAAAATTACATAATAAATAAGCTGATGTTTTAAAACATTCTTGTTGATGAAATACTAGCTTGACAATAACAAGATGCATGAGTGATCTCCCAGAGTCAGTCTGGTGACCATGGAAACAGGTGTAGAGATGTATGACATCAGCATGTGCTAACTGCTTCAGTGGGCTGAGGAAGCTGGGAATCATCTAGTAACAATGCAAATCATTCACTGACACAATTGCACAGGTTGTTAGGACATTATGCCTTGAAGTCTGACAGAATATAACATAAGAGAGATGTTTCGTGTCTGCAATATTCATCAAAGTTGGTGGCAGTTGCCAATTCTGAATTGCATAGGACATTTGTCACTTCTTAAGGCAATATCGCTGCAGCACTTGGCCATTCCATATAGCATAATGCGGTGTTGCACAGCATATGGTCCTTCTGTGTGGCATAAGGCGGTGTCGCACAGCATATGGCCATTCCATATAGCATAAGGCGGTGTCGCACAGCATATGGCCATTCCATACAGCATAAGGCTGAGTCACACAGCATATGACCATTCCATATAGCATAAGGCGGTGTTGCACAGCATATGGCCATTCCATATAGCATAAGGCGGTGTCGCACAGCATATGGCCCTTCTGTGTGGCATAAGGCGGTGCCACACAGCATATGGCCATTCCATATAGCATAATGCGGTGTCGCACAGCATATGGCCCTTCTGTGTGGCATAAGGTGGTGTCGCACAGCATATGGCCATTCCATATAGCATAAGGCAATGTAGTACAGCCATTCTGTCTGGCAGAAGGCTGTGTCGTGTACGCCGGTTCACTGAAAACACTTATTCTATAAGAGTAGTAATGGCTAAGTTTAGCAAGCTTCACTCTCTCTCAGCCAATGAAGTTGTGTTGGCATCCTGCTGTAGCCATGACAACAGTGGGTGGTGGATCCTGTACTCAGGAGACCTGTGAAGATCCGGGGTAGAATAGGTCTTCAGCAACCCATGCTTGCCGCAAAAGGCGACTATGCTTGTCGTAACAGGCGACTAACGGGATTGGGTGGTCAGGCTCGCTGACTTGGTTGACACATGTCATCGGTTCCCAATTGCGCAAATTGATGCTCATGCTGTTGATCACTGGATTGTCTGGTCCAGACTCGATTATTTACAGACCGCCGCCATATAGCTGGAATATTGCTGAGTGCAGCGTAAAACTAAACTCACTCACTGTACTCAGGAAGATGGGTTCACAGCGTGAGTTTTAGACATGTATTTTAAATCTATGGATTTCCATTTGCAGCCGGCTGAGTCCACAACCAAGGGAAAAAATAAAGATTCAGCTAAGAAGGTAAATGTGTAGCAGAGAATGCAAATATTTGCCAAGTTTGACTACCAACAGAAAGTAAGGGGAGCAGGAATTGTACTTGAATCCATTACTGGTTGAGAGTCCAGCTGTTACCATCTGGCCAACCAGCGAAATCAAAATCACAAGCATCATGCATGCATCCTAGAAACATATTACATGCTTTGCAAATGGCTGTAAAATTTTATCAATTAACATTGATGGTTCAAATTAACCATAACTCTCTTATGTGTTATTTGCTTCCTAGCATGTCAGTCTGCTTTCTGTTGGTAGGATATCATGATAAGGTTGATCTCTACATAGTACAGTGCAAGGCAAGGCAGTTTTCTCCTTGAGAAAGGTATCCCACCTGCCACTATAGCTCTATTAACAAAGTCTCATCAGCAGGGTTCACAAGAAGTGAAAACAGGCCCAAGTAATCCCCCCGCATGTCTTGAATTCTGAGGCTAACTTGATTCCTGATATTGATTATTAGCAGCCCCCGTGAAAAGGACCTGCTTTAGGTTTTGTTGGAATTTGTTGGTGGTGATTTTTCTGATTACTACAACATAAAGATTATTGACTTTAGAGATAAATTCATCCTCTGATTTCTTCTAAATAGCCATTGGGGAACATATCGTTTGGCTATATGAAAAGTTACCGCACACCTTCGCAAAAAACTCAAAAGATTGTTGTTGCACTCTTTCAAAAAGCATCATGCATATGGCATTAGACTTTGTGTTTACCATTTCTAAAATATGGTCACACCTTGAAAGGCCAATGCCAGAATTACGTTTAGGTAAAACCTTTTCAGTTTCTGGGGATATTATTTTCTTTCTCAAAAACTTTTGGTTTCTCAAAAAGTGTTGATGAATGTTTGTTAAACTTGGTGTAAATCTGTCTTTAACATGAGCCTTATTTTGAAAAGGTTTGTCAGGAAAGATCACAGTACATGTACAAGGTCAGCTTCATGTAAATTCATGACACTTTGATCACCATTCAATTTCCATGTTAGATGTTATTGCAAAATTAGGTTTCATTCTTTCTATTGCACAAGTTGTTTTAACAGAAAAAAAATATTATTATTTATTTATCATTATTGGATATTTATATAGCGCACATATCCACGCACAAATGAGAATGATGTAAACAAGTTGATGTTCAAAATGATTTGAGGCATCAGAAACGTGTTTCCCCAAACACCACGTGTATTGGTATTGACAGGGGCGGTGGGGTAGCTTAGTGGTTAAAGCATTGACTGGTCACACCGAGGACCTGGGTGTGACTCCCTACATGGGTACAATGTGTGAAGCCAATTGCTGGTGTTCCCCGCCCTGGTATTGCTGGAATATTTGCTAAAGGTGGTCTAAAACTCACTCACTCATTCACTCAATAAAGTATTGATGCTTACAGATTCTCCCATATAGACATACACAGATACAGGTAATGTGAGAGATTCTCCCATATAGACACACAGACACAGGTAGTGTGTGATTCTCCCATATAGACACACATATTTAGGTAGTGTGAGATTCTACCATATAGACACAGATTTAGGTAGTGTGAGATTCTGCCATATAGACATACAGGTAGTGTGAGATTCTACCTTATAGACACAGATTTAGGTAGTGTAAGAGATTTTCCCATATAGACACAGATTTAGGTAGTGTGAGATTCTCCCATATAGACTAGACACACAGATTTAGGTAGTGTGTGAGATTCTCCCATATAGACACACAGATTTAGGTAATGTGTGAGATTCTACCATATAGACACAGATTTAGATAGTGCATATTCAACAATTTATACCAGTATTTAATACAGACTTTGTAAGCATAAACTTAGACAGGGAGAGTGTGAGATTCTGATATATTTGACACAAAGCAGAGATTTACAAAGCCAGATTTTGAACTTTCTGGATTAGGGGTTGGATTGTGATATTAGTTCACCAGACTTCAGTCCCCATAGAGTAGAGATTGTAACACTTTTTGAATGGAAATATCCTGAAGAAAAAGACCCACTATAGATACAGATTTAAGAACACCCAGAATACTCCCATATAGGACACAGATCTAGTCATGCCACTCAAATACCACTTTTCATATTTGAGAGCTTACCATCCATTTTCTAAAGACAATTTTGGATAGACATCTAGATTAATGGAAAGTGAGTCATTCTCCGACACAGTACTGTGTGATTTCCCAAAACATTGAGAGACGCTTTGTAGGCCACAGATAGTATCGGAGAGGAGTACTACACACAGCCAGATTCTAACAGCAAGAGAAATACTTTTGTTAGTTCTGGATGCATCTGTATACCAGGAGATTCTCCCATATGGACATTTCACACAGATACATCATCTGTCAGATTCTCTCCCATATAGACCCACAGGTAAACACACCCTTGATGAGATTCTACCATATAGACACAGGAACAGGTAGTGTTTGATTCTCCCATATAGATTTGGACAGGTACAGATGTAGTGTGAGATTCCACATTTTAGTTATAAACACACTCATACAGGTAGTGTCAGATTCTACCATATAGACACACAGGTACAGGTAGTGTGAGATTCTACCATATAAACACACAGATACAGGTAGTGTCAGATTCTACCATATAGACACACAGATACAGGTAGTGTGAGATTCTACCATATAGACACACAGATACAGGTAGTGTGAGATTCTACCATATAGACACACAGATACAGGTAGGTGTCAGATTCCCTACCATATAGACATTCAGATAGACACACAGGTAGGTAGTGTGAGATTCTACCATACAGGTATAGACACACAAGGTACAGGTAGTGTGAGATTCTACCATATAAACACACAGATACAGGTAGTGTCAGATTCTACCATATAGACACACAGATACAGGTAGTGTGAGATTCTCACCATATAGACACACAGATACAGGTAGTGTGAGATTCTCCCATATAGACACACACAGGTACAGGTAGTGTGAGATTCTCCCATATAGACACACAGATACAGGTAGTGTGAGATTCTACCATATAGACACACAGATACAGGTAGTGTGAGATTCTCCCATATAGACACACAGATACAGGTAGTGTGAGATTCTCCCATATAGACACACAGGTACAGGTAGTGTGAGATTCTCCCATATAGACACACAGGTACAGGTAGTGTCAGATTCTCCCATATAGACACACAGGTACAGGTAGTGTGAGATTCTCCCCATAGAGATTCTCCCACACACAGGTACAGGTAGTGTGAGATTCTCCCATATAGACACACAGGTACAGGTAGTGTGAGATTCTACCATATAGACACACAGGTACAGGTAGTGTGAGATTCTCCCATATAGACACACAGGTACAGGTAGTGTGAGATTCTCCCATATAGACACACAGGTACAGGTAGTGTGAGATTCTACCATATAGACACACAGGTACAGGTAGTGTGAGATTCTCCCATATAGACACACAGATACAGGTAGTGTCAGATTCTCCCATATAGACACACAGATACAGGTAGTGTGAGATTCTCCCATATAGACACACAGGTACAGGTAGTGTGAGATTCTCCCATATAGACACACACAGGTACAGGTAGTGTGAGATTCTCCCATATAGACACACAGATTTAGGTAGTGTGAGATTCTCCCATATAGACACACAGATACAGGTAGTGTGAGATTCTCCCATATAGACACACAGGTACAGGAAGTGTGAGATTCTCCCATATAGACACACACAGGTACAGGTAGTGTGAGATTCTACCACATAGACACACACAGAGATACAGGTAGTGTGAGATTCTCCATATAGACACACAGAGATACAGGTAGTGTGAGATTCTTGTGTTTAGACACACTACAGGTAGTGTGAGAGATACAAGTAGTGTGAGATTCTTGTGTTTAGACACACAGAGATACAGGTAGTGTGAATTCTTGTGTTTAGACACTCAGAGATACAGGTAGTGTGAGATTCTTGTGTTTAGACACTCAGATACAGGTAGTGTGAGATTCTTGTGTTTAGACACTCAGAGATACAGGTAGTGTGAGATTCTTGTGTATAGACACTCAGAGATGCAGGTAGTGTGAGATTCTTGTGTTTAGACACTCAGAGATACAGGTAGTGTAAGATTCTTGTGTTTAGACACTCAGAGATACAAGTAGTGTGAGATTCATGTGTTTAGACACTCAGAGATACAGGTAGTGTGAGATTCTTGTGTTTAGACACTCAGATACAGGTAGTGTGAGATTCTTGTTTAGACACTCAGAGATACAGGTAGTGTGAGATTCTACCATATAGACACACACAGATACAGGTAGTGTGAGATTTTCCAGTGATGACACACAGAGATACTGGTTGAGTGAGTTTCTTGTGTTTAGACACTCAGAGATACAGGTAGTGTAAGATTCTTGTGTTTAGACACTCAGAGATACAAGTAGTGTGAGATTCATGTGTTTAGACACTCAGAGATACAGGTAGTGTGAGATTCTTGTGTTTAGACACTCAGAGATACAGGTAGTGTGAGATTCTTGTGTTTAGACACTCAGAGATACAAGTAGTGTGAGATTCATGTGTTTAGACACTCAGAGATACAGGTAGTGTGAGATTCTTGTGTTTAGACACTCAGATACAGGTAGTGTGAGATTCTTGTTTAGACACTCAGAGATACAGGTAGTGTGAGATTCTACCATATAGACACACACAGATACAGGTAGTGTGAGATTTTCCAGTGATGACACTCAGAGATACAGGTAGTGTGAGATTCTTGTGTTTAGACACTCAGAGATACAGGTAGTGTGAGATTCTTGTGTTTAGACACTCAGAGATACAGGTAGTGTAAGATTCTTGTGTTTAGACACTCAGAGATACAGGTAGTGTGAGATTCATGTGTTTAGACACTCAGAGATACAGGTAGTGTGAGATTCTTGTGTTTAGACACTCAGAGATACAGGTAGTGTGAGATTCTTGTTTAGACACTCAGAGATACAGGTAGTGTGAGATTCTTGTGTTTAGACACTCAGAGATACAGGTAGTGTGAGATTCTTGTGTTTAGACACTCAGAGATACAGGTAGTGTGAGATTCTTGTTTAGACACTCAGAGATACAGGTAGTGTGAGATTCTTGTGTTTAGACACTCAGAGGTACTGTTGCAAGATAGAACCTACCCAACAGTCATCATGTCTTCACTGTATTCACAATAGACCCATGGCTTTCAAGTTGAAGGTCAAGGTCACTTGAAGTCATGTCCTCAAAGTTTTGGTGTACACTAAAGTGCAGCTATGGCTGTATGTAAATTTACTTATGTACAGGATATGTCCAGTGCTTCAGTTGAGTTGAGTTGAAATTGGGTTTTACATCGTACTTGAGAATATTTCGCTCATATGACGACATGCATGCGTGTGTATGTGTATATGCGGCTGCTTGTACTAGCCCAGACTGAAGCTGGTTTTATGGTGCTAGCCCACTGAGATACCATACCGCAGTGAAGCATGAATACCCCACTCAGACACATTATACTGACTCCGAGCCGACCAGTCCTTGTTGTACCCATTAATGCCGAGCGCCAGGCAGGGACCAACAAGTACCATATTTTAACGTCTTTTGGTATGATGCGGTCGGGGATCGAACCCACGACCTTCGGCTCTCCGGGCGGACGCTCTAACCACTACACCACGGAGGCGGTCTCCAGTGCTTCAGACAGTTTATGCATAAACTACTTGGTGTAGCTAATATATGGAACATTGTGTTTCAAAGTTTAATAGAATTAGTCATAGTGAATGATTTTTTCCAAATAGTAAGTGATTCCATTAAACTGGAAGCGCTTATTTTTATGGTGGACTGAATCAATGTACTGCTTTTTTCAACATTATAACTATTCAGATATTGGCGAAGGCAGATGTGACCTGATTTGTTGAAGTTCAAATAAGATAAGATTAGATAAGATAAACTTTATTGTCCCGCAAGGGAAATTTGTCTTGCATTCAAAGAGCCAATACAAGCATATAACAACAAATAATTTAAAATATATATACACAATGCCAAGCTTATCAGAATATAATGTTGAAATATAACATAATCAAAGTTCATGATATAATAATCACTCGTGCCTCGTAGATTTCACTATTACAACTTTGGAGGAAGTTTTAGAAGTTTTATACTGTATGGGACAAATGATTTTGAAGTTCTATTAGTTTTGTAATACATGATTTTGAAATGGCGGCCAGAAGGCAGAAGTTCATAACATTCATTTAAAAAGTGTGATGGATCCGATTGAATGGCCAGAGCTTTCTTCTTAACTTTTTGACTCATACTGAAAAGGTAGAGGTTCGAAATTGAAGCCGCAAATTTTCCTGGATATGTTTACTATTTTGTCAAGTTTGTTTTTCTGTGTAAGAAGATTGCCATACCAGGCATGAAAGCAGAAAGTTAAAATACTATTAATGAATGTTTGGTAGAATAATTTTAAGATATTAGTGTCTACATTAAATGATCGCAATTTCCTCAGAAAGAAAAGCCTATGTTGTGCTTTCCCATGTACACGATGTGAATTTGATTTCCATGAAAGTTTATTATCAATAATAGTACCCAGATATTTATACTCTTCTACTGTTTCTACAGCCTGTCCATCAATACAAACAGGTTTCAGTTTGTTTTTTTTGCTTCGGAAGTCAATTATCATTTCCTTTGTTTTGTTTATGTTCAGGGAGAGGAAATTATCTTTGCACCATGAAGTAAACATCAATATTTCTCCTATACTCTAACTCCGATTGACGAATAAACCCAACCAAAGCGGCATCATCAGCAAATTTGAAATTCAAACAGGTGGATAAGTGAGATATACAGTCATTTGTATAGAGTGTGAAGAGGACAGGGGACAGGACACAGCCTTGAGGCTGTGCTTCATAATACATGTTTGTGGTGGGACATTTATGGGGCATTCAGAAAACATATTGTTATTAAATCATCTAAAACATGAATGTTCTGGAAACCTTTCAGAGTGTATTGGAAATAATTCAGGGTAGTATTTTTAAGAAGACAAAATCACCACTTGTGTTTTTTAATATCCATGATTGTAGCAAATCTGCAGATCTTCTATTTTAATCAACAGGTGTTCTTACACTTGATATCAAAATACAGAAACATGAGATTTGTTCAATATTGAACAAACTTTATGGATAACAACTTTTATTTCGTGAGTGCGACATTTCGACACAGATTCTTGTACTGTTGTTAAGCAAAATGCCACACAAAGAGGTTATGAGATTTGTTTGTTTTTATTAACCATTACAATCTAGAATTAATCTGATGTCCACATTGAGCTTTGCTACCACCTTGAATTTTAAATGTGCATCACAGTGAAATGTCAAATTTTGAAATCACCTAAAGCTTGCTGCCTTGCTTTTATCATTGATAGCATTTCATGGGTTAACATACACATTCCTACTTGCCTCATGAATAGGGCTGGCCAAAATATCGTCAGTGGGAACATTTACTAATGGTTAGCAATATGAAAATTGTTAGATCGACCTTGGAAAACAGTGAAACTTGAGGATGACATTGATCAAGCATCATTGTAAGAGCTTGTTGCATTGTGTGTAACTCTCAACTGTTTGTGAAAATCGTGCACTGTGTTCTTTGTTATCTCTTTATACCTTTACAAGAATTCATACGACTGAACTTCATGGAGCACAACTGGGTAACGACTATATAACAATAATCCCTATCGAAGATAAGCAATCGGAAGACTATTGCTATGGATATTTATCAATATATACTATCTTCACAGCTCTCATGAGCAGTTTGTTTACATGTCTATTTTTAGACCCATGTGGGTCCGCAATCATGTGACTATTGTTGACATTCGCTACCTCACTGATAGTGACAATGCATTTGGTGTCACCTTCTAATGAAACAACATCTATTACACACAAATATCTCTATCAGTTTTAAGACTTTTTCTGAATGCTGTATTTATATATGACTACCATTTGAGCATGTCAATGATATGCTTATAGCCGCATGAGTAATACGGTCACTGATCACGTGCTTTGTACCAAATCATGTGACTATTGTTGACATTCGCTACACTGATAGTGACAATGCATTTGATGTCTCCGTTTAATGAACAGCATGTATTACATATAAATACCGCTATCAATATTAAGATTTTTTCTGATTGTGGTATTTATATATGATTGCCACTTGAGGATGTGAATGATATATGCTTTTTAACCGCATGTGTAATATGGTCACTGATCACGTGATTTGCACTGAATTGTCGAGGGACAAGCAAGTCTGTTACCAGTTCACGACTGCCTGTCTGCAGTATGGTCTCCAGACCCCAAAACGTGAGTTTGTAGCATATAAATATATGCATAGAAGAACAAAACATTCCTGCTGACAATAATTCTTGTACATTGAAAGATTTATTAATGTCAAATACCTTTGATACTGTTATCGAACTGACCAGAACCAGAGTTACCTCCCTTATTTGACCTAGTTTTAAGACACCTCTTGTACACAGCTCTCTTGTATACATACATTTCTCTATAGAATTTATACCAATACTTATTTACTAGAGGATGGATTTGACTTGTGGTAACGCCTTTTTTCAGCTTTTATGTTTTCAGATTTCTTTTATTATCTTGTTTTCTCCAAAAAATGATAAACATTCATATCAGTAGGCATTTGAGTTATAATACCAGTACACACATTATGAAGCAATATGGGTGATAAGATAAGAATAGCTTCAGCCAATTGTAGAGGCCTGGCAGAAAAGACAAAACGTAAAGAAATATTGAACCTTTGGCGTAAAAGAAAGTTTTCAATTATATGTCTGCAAGACATTCATATTTCCAAGGAAGATGAAACTACTATGAGAAATGAATAGGGACTTCAAAGCATTATAGCACCATATAAATCAAATGCAAGAGGGGTTGCTATTTTATTTAACAATAATTTGGGAAGTAAGTATCCACAAATTCATGACTGACAACAGTGGAAACTATATAATAGCAGATGTAACTATAGAAGGAATAAGAATCACATTGACTAAGATATATGGTCCTAATCAAGATCAACCTGATTTTTATAATGCATCATTTCATAAAATTGATGAATTTGAAAATGAATCTCTCATAATATGCGGAGACTGCAACTTAGTTCTTAATCCTTCCATAGACTTAGAAAATTATAAAAATATCAATAATCCAAAAGCAAGAAAAGTAGTGTTAGATAATATAGAAAAGTATGATTTGACAGACATTTGGAGGGAGAGAAATTATGATGTAAAGAAATACACATGGTGGAAAAGAAACCCTAAACAACAGTCCAGACTTGATTTCTTTTTAGTTTCTCAAGATTTAGTAAACATGACAACAGACTGTTCAATACTTCCAGGATATAAATCTGATCATTCAGCAATTACCATGTCTTTTTCTAATCAACTTAATAAGGAACGGGGTGGAGAATACTGGAAACTAAACACATCATTACTTTATAACCAAGAATATGTAAACACAGTCAAGGATATGCTTTTTGAAACTAAATTAGAATACTGTAACTGCACTGAGGATGAACTAGGTGATATTGAAGATTCTAAACTACAACTTAATATAAGCGACACTTTGTTCTTAGAAATATTTTTAATGAAAGTAAGGGGGAAAACAATATCATTCTCTTCCTACTTAAAAAAAATCAAAACTGAAAAAAGCAAAAATTTAGAAGGAAAAGTTTTGGCAATGGAAGAAGAAATGAGAGAAAATTTCTAAACCATATGTGAAACTAAACTTTCTGAACTATCCAAATGTAAATTAGAGTTTGAAAAATTAAAAGAAGATGAAATAGGAGGTATACAGATAAGAAATCGAATTCAGTGGTATGAGGAAGGAGAAAAACCAACCAACTATTTCTGTCATCTCGAAAATAGAAATTATACCAGTAAGCTTATGAATAGTGTTATCAGTGACAAAGGGGAAGTAATATCAGATGGTAAGGCTATATTAAATGAACAAAGACAATTTTAAGTCCAACAATAAACAGAGGCGTCATCACATGTATTCCAAAAGCTAACAAAAATAGACAGTTGTTAAAAAACTGGCGCCCAATTTCCCTACTGAATTCTATGTATAAACTACTCAGCACATGTATAGCCAATAGAATTAAAAAAACATTGAATACTCTTATTCATGAAACTCAGACAGGTTTTATACCTGGAAGGTGTATTAGCGAGAACATTAGATTATTATACGACATTATGTTTGAAGCAAAAGTACAAGATAAAAAGGGACTCTTGTTACTTATTGACTTTGAAAAAGCTTTTGACACTGTCTCTAAAGAATTTATAATTTTAACAATTGGAAAGCTTGACTTTGGACCGAATATGGAAAAATGGATCAAAATATTAATCAATAATGCTACATCATGTGTTATACAGAATGGTCATTTATCACAATTTTTTTGACAATGAAAGGGGCTGTAGACAAGGGGACCCAGTCTCTCCCTATATATTCATCTTAGTGGCTGAAATTTTAGGAATAATGATCCGTAACAACACTGCAATAAAAGGAATTACATTGAATAACACTGAACATAAAATTGGACAGTATGCAGATGATACTGAATTATTTCTCAATGGGCGTGAAGAAAGTTTAAGGGCAGCAACTGACACTCTCAATAATTTCTACAAAATGTCTGGTTTAAGAATAAATATAGATAAAACGAAAGCAGTGTGGATAGGCTCAATGGCAGGTAATAGCATGATTTTATGCCAGGATCTTAAGCTTGATTGGCATAATGGGGATTTTGATATTCTAGGAATAAGACCTAAAATAACTGTTATTAAAACTTTAGCACTTTCATCATTGGTGCATATATTCACTTCACTCCCAAATCCTCCAAAGGAATTCATTGACAAATTAAACAATATATTTTATAAATTCATCTGGAATGATAAGCTGGATAAGATAAAGTGAACGACACTTATTAGAAAATATGAAGAGGGGGGACTCAGAATGGTTAATGTACAGGTATTCATAAACTCTTTAAAACTGTCAGTTTTACATAAATATCTTCAAAATAATAGCAGTTCTAGCCCTAGTATCTTTCCAATTAAAGATATATTTCTGCTTGGAGCCAATATTGAAAATTATGTCAGTATTATGAATCCCTATTGGAAAGATGTATTGGCTGCATGGGGAATATTCTATAAAACACATAAAACTGATTTTACAGATATTGATCAAATCTTATCCCAACCCCTTTGGTTCAATCACCAATTCCCAAATAGTAATTTCATTATAAGACATTGGCATCTCAAACGTATTCACTCTATAAGAGACTTGTGTAATGATCAAGGTATTTTGCCATTTAGTGAACTAAGAAAACTTACAAAATTAAAGGCACAATTCTTGACTATTATCAGGTTCTTTCAAATATACCCAAAAATGGAAAGAAACTATAAGAAAGAATTTATTGATTGTTCATAATCATTATCTTAACACATCACTGATAGATTTACTTTCAGCACCAAAGAGATCCAGATATTTCTATGATAAACTTATAACTACTGAAAACCTACCTTCAACATGTGAAAAATGGCAAAATATCTTTGATATTGCAATTCCATGGCAAGATATTTTAGAAAATATAGAAGATGTACAAAAGATACTAAATTGATTGACTTCCAGTTTAAATTTATCCACAATATTGTCTACACAAAGAAAGAATTATTGAGAATGAAATTAGTAGATGATGAACTTTGCTCCTTTTGTAATTTAATGTCAGAAAATTTGATACATGTTTATTGGGAATGTGAGTGTGTGAAAACGTTCTGGCTGAAACTGAAAGAATATATTGAAGATAAATCATCAGAAAATTTTACCCTGACAAAATATACAGTCTTAATTGGCGGAAATAATAACGACCTTATGAATCACATACTTCTTGCCAGTAAAAAATATATCCATATATCAAGTATTAAAAAAATTAGTTATCACTGGATACATTTGTAAAAATATTGAGTGATATTTTCAAGACAGAAAAGTTTATTGCCAGTAAGAATCAAAACATATTACAATTTGACAGAAAATGGTCATCTCTACTGCACACATTCCCAGCCTAATGAAGATCCCAATATGTGTAATGCCAACCCATATGAATTTCTGTTCTACGGTGTACAAGTGTTGTTGCATCATGTACTTTGTATACTTGTATCTACTGATTTTGAATGAATAAAAAAAAAAAATATGAAAATTGTGGCATGGATAATATCATGCATAAATTCTTGTGATGAAATATAGTTTTAATTGCGCTGTCTCAATACTCAAAGATTGGTCCTTATTCATTGGTTGCTTCTAAATTATGTTCAGAACGCTGTGTTGTACGTCATCCATGCCTGAATATGTCACCACTCACCAGTGATGTGAAATATGTTGATTTCTTTCAGAATCTTTGCTCAAAGTTATTTTCCCGATATTTGTAGATAACTGATCGATATTTGATGAACGATAATCGATCCCTATGATGTATATTGATAGCCAGCCCTACTTGTGACTACCTACCACCACAATGGGATGTACTTGCTATTATTTAATAACAAATCAAACAAAGACTCGGTTCTAGCAAGACTGTAATCAGCACCCTTGCCTTACGACCCTCTTCAGACACTAGTTGACTAGACACTTCATGCCAGCCATTTTTAGCCCATGAAGATGGAGGACTGTAGTGTATACACACGCATATTGATAAGGAGTTTTTAGATTCAGCTGTACAGTATCTTGATATGTTCACCAAAATTGTGTGTTAAAATATGTTCCAAATTTGGGAAACACTATTCTGCTCTTAGGTTTAAATCGGTTCAGAGATATTAGCAACTCATGTGGCATCATTTAAATTTACTATTGTATAACAGGTAACATTACTGCAGAATGTAATCATAACTTATTACTATGGTGTAACAAGGAACATTGTACAATATAATCATAATCATTACTGTGGTATAACATACAACATTGTAGATTATCACCATACATCATTTGAAATGTTTGGCCTCGTAATCAAATGCACATGGCAAAAAAGTTGTATATGTTCTCTGTTATGGCCTGGCATTGGAATGAAATGAGCGAAAATGAGTTTCTCAGTAAAATTTAGTCCTCAGTTTAATTGCTTGCTAGAATTAAACCCCCAAAATTAAACATTTTGTTTCTAGAATAATTGCTGTTGGGGAACTGATTTTCTCCTGGCGATGATAACACAAGGGACATTTCCTGTGGGAGCTGATACTAGGTATATAAAGGAGATTATTCTCAGTTTAAGATGTTGTTTGGAAGTCAGTAATGTGCACTGGGATGACGTATGTGATAATACATGCTGTTGATTTTTTTAGTGTTTATTTACTGTTGTACTATCTGATCGTTTATCTTGTGTATTTTCAGCCCACACCGGTTCGCAAACCAACACTCAAGCGGCCCCTGTCAGCTCCCCGAGATGAACCCAGGCCTTCCACGTCTAAAACACCGCCATCAAAGAGACAAAAGATTCTCATGAATACACAAACAGTCAAGTCACCTGTGAAATCACCAGATACTCCAAAATCATCCTCAGAGTCCATTGTGATTCCGGATTATTCTAAGACACCAAACATTTCAAAAGATGAATTTTATCAAGAAATAGGCCTTTCACCAGAGCCCACCAAAATCAAATCCAAAGACATTTATGACATGCCCGATGATGAAGAAATGGATAAGGTGTGCACTGAGTTCCTTTCTTATATCCGTTATTAGAGAAAAGGTCAGATCAAGAAAAGAGGAAAATGTAAATGAAGACACTGAACAAAGTTGAATAGACAGGAAGTTCTGTCCAGAAGGCATGTGTACAAGCAACTTACAGGATATTCTTGTGCTTCCACACTAATATCCCCATGTTTTTGAGTTGTATAACTTTTTTGAATGTCCTATTCTGGAACTTAATTATTAATATTGTTTCCTAAGTGTATGTTTTGGCCATAATATGTTGTTTTAGAAGAAAGGCTAGATGACTGTTAGATGAAGTGATATCTCTGATACTCGTGATGAATGACTGAGGTAAGGATGCGCGGTACAGATATTTCACTGTCATGTGAATGTTTGTAAGTTCTTTCCCAAGGCTTTTTTCAAACCAGATATGGCGGAGAAAATAGCCATGGACTTACAGCCCTATATTTCTGTGAATTATCTCCTGCTTTATGGGATATTCTCTTCTTCCTCCTTCCTCGTGTAGTGTATTCTGGATATGTATCCATAGTAACCAGTGTATAAAATAGTTTTAAGTGTGGCCTGTCCAAGGACTGGCTGTCCAAAACAGCGACCTGTCCTGAACAAACACAGCCTGTCCCAAAAACTAAAATTCTTCATTCAAACCAAGTTAAGTATATTTTTTCAATGGTGGGACGGGCTATACACTCTAGTAACAGATCCCAGTGACTTTGGGAAAGCTGGCTATCTTGATGGAGTAAAATATTCAAAATATTAGTGGTTTGAAACATGAGCAAGTTGCTGCAGTAAGAATTATTCCATTCTCACAGGGATCACAGACAGTTCAGCTTTTTCATTTTAGTCCTAATGTGTGAGTAATTCTTCATACACACACTGTCCCTCAGTATAGGGTCTCCTCCATATACACACTGTCCCTCGGTATAGGGTCTCCTCTATTAACACTCCCTCGGTATAGGGTCTCCTCTATTAACACACTGTCCCTCAGTAAAGAGTCTCCTCCATATACATACTGTCCCTCGGTATAGGGTCTCCACTATTAAAAAACTGTCCCTCAGTATAGGGTCTCCACTATTAACACACTGTCCCTTGGTATAGGGTCTCCTCCATATACACACTGTCCCTCAGTATAGGGTCTCCTCAAGATGCACACTGTCCCTCACTATAGGGTCTCCACTATTAACACACTGTCCCTCAGTATAGGGTCTCCTCTATTAACGCTCCGTCAGTATAGCGTCTGCACTATTAACACACTGTCCCTCAGTATAGGGTCTCCTCTATTAACACTCCCTCGGTATAGAGTCTCTTCTATTAACACACTGCCCCTCAGTATAGGGTCTCCTCTATTAACACACTGCCCCTCAGTATAGGGTCTCCACTATTAACACACTGCCCCTCAGTATAGGGTCTCCTCTATTAACACACTGCCCTTCAGTATAGGGTCTCCACTATTAACACACTGTCCCTCAGTATAGGGTCTCCACTATTAACACACTGTCCCTCAGTATAGGGTCTCCTCTATTAACACACTGCCCCTCAGTATAGGGTCTCCACTATTAACACACTGTCCCTCAGTATAGGGTCTCCTCTATTAACGCTCCCTCAGTATAGCGTCTCCACTATTAACACACTGTCCCTCAGTATAGGGTCTCCTCTATTAACACTCCCTCGGTATAGAGTCTCTTCTATTAACACACTGCCCCTCAGTATAGGGTCTCCTCTATTAACACACTGTCCCTCAGTTATAGAGTCTCTTCTATTAACACACTGTCCCTCAGTATAGGGTCTCCTCTATTAACACACTGCCCCTCAGTATAGGGTCTCCTCTATTAACACACTGCCCCTCAGTATAGGGTCTCCACTATTAACACACTGCCCCTCAGTATAGGGTCTCCACTATTAACACACTGTCCCTCAGTATAGGGTCTCCTCTATTAACACTCCTAAAAGCTGGGCGTAGGTATAGAGTCTCTTCTATTAACACACTGCCCCTCAGTATAGGGTCTCCACTATTAACACACTGCCCCCTCAGTATAGGGTCTCCTCTATTAACACACTGTCCCTCAGTATAGGGTCTCCTCTATTAACACACTGCCCCTCAGTATAGGGTCTCCACTATTAACACACTGCCCCTCAGTATAGGGTCTCCTCTATTAACAACTCCCTCAGTATAGGGTCTCCACTATTAACACACTGCCCCTCAGTATAGGGTCTCCTCTATTAACACACTGTCCCTCAGTATAGGGTCTCCTCTATTAACACTCCCTCGGTATAGAGTCTCCTCTATTAACACACTGCCCCTCAGTATAGGGTCTCCTCTATTAACACACTGCCCCTCAGTATAGGGTCTCCACTATTAACACACTGTCCCTCAGTATAGGGTCTCCTCTATTAACACACTGCCTCAGTATAGGGTCTCCTCTATTAACACACTGCCCCTCAGTATAGGGTCTCCTCTATTAACACACTGTCCCTCAGTATAGGGTCTCCTCCATATACATACTGTCCCTCGGTATAGGGTCTCCACTATTAACACACTGTCCCTCAGTATAGGGTCTCCTCCATATACATACTGTCCCTCGTTATAGGGTCTCCACTATTAACACACTGCCCCTCAGTACAAGGTCTCCTCTATTAACCGCTCCCTCGGTATAGGGTCTCCTCTGTTAACACACTGTCCCTCAGTATAGGGTCTCCTCCATATACATACTGTCCCCAGTATAGGGTCTCCTCCATATACATACAGTCCCCCAGTATAGGGTCTCCTCTATTAACGCTCCCTCGGTATAGGGCTTCCGCTATTAACACAATGCCCCTCAGTATAGGGTCTCCTCTATTAACACAATGCCCCTCGGTATAGGGTCTCCTCTATATACATACTGTCCCTCAGTATAGGGTCTCCTCCATATGCACACTGTCCCCCAGTATAGGGTCTCTTCTATTATTACTCCCTCAGTATAGCGTATCCACTATTAACACACTGTCCTTCAGTATAGGGTCTCCTCTATATACATACTGTCCCTCAGTATAGGGTCTCCTCTATAAGGGCTGTGGGGTAGCCCAGTGGTTAAAGCGTTGGCTCGACACGCCTAAGACCCGGGTTAGAATCCCCACATGGGTACAATTTGTGAAGCCCATTTCTGGTGTCCCCTGCCGTGATGTTGCTGGAATATTGCTAAAAGCGGCGTAAAACCAAAATTCAGTCAGGCAGTCTCCTCTATTAACACACTGCCCCTCAGTATAGGGTCTCCACTATTAATACACTGTCCTTCAGTAAAGGGTCTCCTCTATATACATACTGTCCCTCAGTATAGGGTCTCCTCTGTTAACACACTGTCCCCTCAGTATAGGGTCTCCTCTATTAACACTCCCTCGGTATAGGGTCTCCACTATCAAGACACTGCCCCTCAGTATAGGGTCTCCTCTATTAACACACTGTCCCTCAGTATAGGGTCTCCTCCATATAAACACTGCCCCTCAGTATAGGGTCTCCTCTATTAACACACTGTCCCTCAGTATAGGGTCTCCACTATTAACACACTGCCCTTCAGTATAGGGTCTCCACTATTAACACCCTCTCCCTCAGTATAGTGTCTCTATTAACACACTGTCGCTCAGTATAGGGTCTCTATTAACACACTGTCGCTCAGTATAGGGTCTCCACTATTAACACACTGTCCCTCAGTACAGGGTCTCCACTATTAACACACTGTCCCCCAGTATAGGGTCTCCTCTATTAACACTCCCTCTTTATAAGGTCTCCACTATCAAGACATTGCCCTGCAGTATAGGGTCTCTTCTATTAACACACTGTCTCTCAGTAGAGGGTGTCCAGTATTAACACACTGCCCCTCAAAATAGGCCCTTCTCTCGTCAATATATACACAATCCCTCAATATAGGCACTTCTCTTCTATGTACATTCTGTCTCTCCACATACATGCAATCCCTCAATGTACAAACTTCTCTTCTATATCCACGCTGTCCCTCAATATAGACACTTCTCTTCTATATACACACTTTCCCTAAACATACACACAATCCCAGGGTCTCCTCTTTTAGGCCATTGCCCTTACATGTACACACAGTCCCAGGGTCTCCTCTATTAGCCCATTGGCCTTACATATACACACAGTCCCAGGGTCTCCTCTATTAGCCCATTGGCCTTACATATACACACAGTCCCAGGGTCTCCTCTATTAGCCCATTGGCCTTACATATACACACAGTCCCAGGGTCTCCTCTATTAGCCCATTGGCCTTACATATACACACAGTCCCAGGGTCTCCTCTATTAGCCCATTGGCCTTACATATACACACAGTCCCAGGGTCTCCTCTTTTAGGCCATTGGCCTTACATGTACACACAATCCCAGGGTCACCTCTATTAATATATTGGCCTTACATATACACACAGTCCCAGGGTCTCCTCTATTTATATATTGGCCATACATATACACACAGTCCCAGGGTCTCCTTTTTATCCCATTGGCCTTACATATACACACAGTCCCGGGGTCTCCTCTATTAGCCCATTGGCCTTACATATACACACAGTCCCAGGGTCTCCTCTATTAGCCCATTGGCCTTACATATACACACAGTCCCGGGGTCTCCTCTATTAATAAATTGGCCATACATATACACACTGCCCTTCCATATACACATTGCCCTTCTCCATATTCTCTGTTGTTGCATATTTGGGGACTGAGGTCAATGCAAGCTATAGTTTGGCATGAAATGCATGTGGACCCGGTTTTTTGTAAATATCTCTTCATCCAATGACCCAATCGATCTCAAACTGTGCAAGTGGATGTTTTGTCAGACAACCTAATCACATTGTAAATCACCGATTTTATGCATTTGTATTAAAGAATCTGTCTATGTAACTGTCAACAAAATAAACAGCAGAACGCAGAAGGCTTGCAGAGGGAGGGAGCCAATGACCTGTAACAGCGGCAGTGTTGGGTCATAAAGGTCAACGTTCGTCAATGTAGGTCAGCTATGCCGATGACCCTGATGTCAAAAGAATCTAACTTTGGATGCCTACCTTTTTGTACAAGGTTTTGTTTATTGGTTGTTGGTTTATTTTTCACAATTGTTGGCACGATGTTCTTTTTCATGCCAAGAGCAAAAGTTGTACGTTTCATGTAATCCGACACCTTATAAATCGGTTTGCTACGTTTGCTCTCTTTTATAAAAAAATTAAACACATTGCATATTAAACGTTTAGCATCATCTGAATAAGCTTTCATGATGACAGCTAGAAGTAGTCAATGTGAATGATCCAAACGGTCTATCACTGTGCAGTGCACAGGTACCTATCATGAACTGCACGTGTATTTACCTTTATGACCCAACACTACCGCTGTTACAGGTCATTGGCTCCCTCCCTCTGCAAGCCTTCTGCGTTCTGCTGTTTATTTTGTTGACAGTTACATAGACAGATTCTTTAATACAAATGCATAAAATCGGTGATTTACAATGTGATAGGTTGTCTGACAAAACATCCACTTGCACAGTTTGAGATCGATTGGGTCATTGGATGAAGAGATATTTACAAAAAAACGGGTCCACATGCATTTCATGCCAAACTATACATCTTCTTGCACATGCTTAGTGGTTTTGTCAAGTACCTGTATTGTCTGTTACCAGTATAATCAGGTGCCTGTATTGCCTGTTACCAGTATACTCAGGTACCTGTGTTGTCTGTAACCAGTATAATCTGGTGCCTGTATTGTCTGTTACCAGTATAATCAGGTGCCTGTATTGCATTGTTACCAGTATAATCAGGTACCTGTATTGCATTGTTACAAGTATAATCTGGTGCCTGTATTGTCTGTTACCAGTATAATCTGGTGCCTGTTTTGCCTGTTACCAGTATACTCAGGTACCTGTATTGCATTGTTACCAGTATAATCAGGTACCTGTATTGTCTGTTACCAGTATAATCAGGTACCTGTATTGTCTGTTACCAGTATAATGAGGTGCCTGTATTGTCTGTTACAAGTACAGTCACGTACCTGTATTGTCTGTTACCAGTATAATCAGGTGCCTGTGTTTGTCTGTTACCAGTCGATCGCGCGAAGACCGGGTTGTGGGCACAATGTGTTAAAGCCCATTTCTGGTTACCAGATATTGCTGGAATATTCAGGTGCTAAACTCAGTGTTGTCTGTTACCAGTATAATCTGGTACCTGTATTGTCTGTTACCAGTATAATCAGGTGTCTGTTACCAGTATAATCAGGTGCCTCTATTGTCTGTTACCAGTACAGTTACGTACCTGTATTGTCTGTAACCAGTATAATCAGGTGTCTGTTACCAGTATAATCTGGTACCTGTATTGTCTGGTACCAGTATAATCAGGTGTCTGTTACCAGTATAATCTGGTACCTGTATTGTCTGTTACCAGTATAATCAGGTGTCTGTTACCAGTATAGTCAGGTGTGTTACCAGTATAATCTGGTACCTGTATTGTCTGTTACCAGTATAATCAGGTGCCTGTATTGTCTGTTACCAGCAAATCAGGTACCTGTATTGTCTGTTACCAGTATAATGAGGTGCCTGTATTGTCTGTTACCAGTACAGTCACGTACCTGTATTGTCTGTTACCAGTATAATCAGGTGCCTGTGTTGTCTGTTACCAGTATAATCAGGTGAGAGTCACGTCAAGTATCAGAATTATCAGATAGCAGTTATATCAGTATTGTCCAGTGCAGTTGCTAATGTTTTTCTAAGTATTACACCAGAGAAGTGCCTAGTTAGTCACTGACTGCATTGCTAATGGTGATGAGGGCAGATTCTGATGTGAGACACAACATGAAGACACTAGACCCAGCAGTGCTGTCCGTGTGGAACTGTGCAGGTGTGGGCCCAGCAACCCAGCCAACATCTAGTCCTTCCATTGTATTATATGGGTTTGGGTTTGTTTAAGTGAGGGATCTTAAGGAGATAACTACCAGATTCATACCGATACCATGATTAATGGCTAATGATTACCCACCTCCTGTCCAGCTTGCCTATCTAGCACAGCACATCTTTCTTACCTTCACAGGATGTGGTTGATTGTCAGATATTTTAGCAAATTTCCTGTTGCAACTTTGCTCAGGTTAGCTGGCTGTCTATGACATTGTCTCTACAAGTGAAGGGAATGCAGGGCACCTCAGGCAAATCTCAAGGAAATCAACATAAGGTCAGGGGCTTTTGAAAAGTCATGGATTTTTTATAGGAGGTTTTAACAAAGGAACAACTGTCAGTTGCAACAGTGTTCAGATGGGCTGATCTCTGTCGGGAAGGAAGTCGTAGAAACTACACTGTTCAGTAGCTTGAAGTACCACAAACAAATATTCCTATGGACCCAATCAATTGGTTAAGAAGAATACAATACTTACACTGCATCGTGGGGCTACTGGAAGGTTTAACCTATTATATATAGTAATGAAGTAATCACCCGAGCAGCAGCATGGCCATTTAGAGTTGTCTTCAACTTGCTCACTGTGTGCTTATTTCAACTGGTACTGGTTTTAAAGAACCCCATTTTACATTTACCTGAGCATGCATTTTCTCCCGTTCTAATAGTCTAACCGAATTGTTCGTTTAGGTGTAACGATGTAGGGCTGATGCTGTGACAGTCTCGCCCAAGCATGTAAGGTGTTTCAGTTGTAAGCAAGAGTTGTGTATTTCAGGACCTGGGGGTCCCATCTACCACCAGCGGCACAGCTGTCTCCTCCTCCACACAGATAGACGACGCCCTCCTCACACGCAATTCCGCCAAGTCTGTCATCCCCACACCCCTGCGCATCGGCTTCCTGGGACTAGGCATTATGGGACAGGGTATGGTGATGAATCTGCTGAGGTCAGGCCACGAGGTCACTGTCTGGAACCGAACTGCATCAAAGGTATGTGTCTATTTCTCAATAAAGATGCTTAGTCTTACATGTTTTAAGTTAACTTCTTTGAGTGGCATTTTAGAAGTTAGGAAGTACAAATTCTCCATAGAACAAACCAGTGAAAGAACAACAACCCAAAATGTGTTCTACAAAATACTGTGATTGTTTTAAGAAAATGTCCCGACCCATCAGTGAAAAGAACTTCTACCAATTAATGCATTTTTCAAAGCAAACCCAATCATCAAATGAGAGTGGTCTGACATCACCATGTTAAACCGGAAGCCGTCCACATCAACGTAAAAGCCCACCATCAACCCAGACCAGGATACTTCTTTCCATCCGGCTATGATGCACTCATTTTCTACTGTATAAACTCTTGTATAAACATCTCATTATTATTTGTACATCACCACGCCTGTCCTGCTGATGGCATGTTAATTATGTTGTTTTCTTTGTTTCAGTATATATATACTTCCCCTTCTTCATGTTCCATTATGCTTGACAACGGTACAAGACTGTTCAAAAGTCACTTAATAAAAAGAAGTTGTTATCCATAAAGTTTGTTCTATAATGTTTTAAGTTTCCTTCTATTAATGCATTTCAGCAAACATACTCTTCAATGTTAAATTGACACAGATTGCCACATATAATTTGTTTCAGCCTTTTACCACACCACTGCTGATGGCAGGGTTTTATAGCGGACTGTTCAGTCGAAAACATATTGCTGCCAGTTTTTTAAAAGTATCACTGACAGTTATAACTTAAAACATTTTTTGTCCACATATCACACACAGATAAATGTTCATCTGTAATAAAATGCTGTAAACAGGTTAGGGTGATGATTCTTGAGCAGATGGGTAACACTGTTTACATTGATTGATTTCTCATGGTTTCTGAAACATCACCCAGTGCTTGGATATTATGCAATGGGTTTATGATGCAGTGAAGTCATAGTTGAAGGAATGTGGCCCTGCTATCCTGATCCACATCTGTTGTAACCAGTAGGCAATAGAAGTTGTAGCATTGTGATGAGGGGTATAGGGGGTGTTATGTGTCCTGTGTTAGGTTTTATCCACCGAGACAGTGACATACATATAATTAAATCTTTATTTGATGTTATATGTCGTTTATGTTATATGTAAGGTACATATCATTTATGTCAATAATAGATTGATTTAATACAGAGAGAGAGATAATGTTTATTTGAGTCTCACTTTCTGTACATTGTCATAGAATGCATGCGTTTTGTACAGAAGTTAATAGTACAGAAACCACCCGTTGGGTTATGGGAGACTATATTAAATCAATAAAAACATTGTGAACCAACAAATATCAGCACCCGTATAATCGTATACATTTGAAGTTAACACGTACAGGTATGCATACATACATAACATATATACAACAAACATACATACAAACAAACATATAATCACATATACAAAACAGCATACAACCGCACATAATATCACGCATGCGCATACATACATATACACACATACATACAGACCACACACACACACATCCACACACACACATGCATGCACACACACACACAATATCACGCGACGCGACACACACACATACATACATACACACATATATATACATACATACATACACACACATAAATATACATGTATTATAATCATACATTCAATACTAACATATACTAGTATGCAGAATACAGATACCCTACACACAATATCATTAACACAATACAAACAATACAATGAAGTACAATATAGTTACGTACATTCGTACTGCTGTTACAATGCCTAACATTCATACACCATGTGTTGCATTCATCTAGTGTTAATGAATGAAAGAGTAGGATATTAATACATTTAAAATTTAAGATACAAGTAGTGTATAATATTTAAGATAAAGATTGACGTCATTTATACATGTTTATAACAGTATCACAGAGGAGATGGACTATGCCAGTTGTGTTTAATAGATGTGTAAATTTAGTAACTGAGGAGGAGTTATTAAAGGATGGATATACATGATGTCAGGACACTCCAATACCTGTCAGGTGGAGTTGTGCAGTCAGTACCATAACATACACCCTAAGTTGGTGTACATGCATTGACACCTGTAGGGATAAGAGATAGGTATGTAAATATACAATTTATAGTTCAAATTTTCAAACTAATAAGTGGTGGTGCGATTAACTGAAATAATCGAAGATTGGCCGCAATGACTAGACGACCAAGCAATCGATCATGTTTTCTCATAATCGAACAAAAAAACATTTTGGAACACTTGTTTGTATTAACAATATTTTTCACAAGGTTTGTTTTGTCTGTTACATTTCATAAGCACTACAAGCTCGTTCCAAGTCATGACTGAATTTATCTTAAAGACTCCAGGAAATTTATGTTCCTAATATACTTGTCATCCTTTTAAGATGTGAAATTTGCAAATGCATTTTGAGCAAAAAACTGAAAGAACTACATTTGTTGTTTTTATTTTTTGGGCATTAACAAGCACAACAAGGAAAATTTGATAATTGATGCTAGCCAATTATTATCGATGATTGATTGGTTGTAATGAACCAATCATCAAATATGAGATTTTAACCAATTCCCAACACTATGGTGTATTACTACAGAGCCCTGACCATTGCTGGCCCATACCTCCACCATATGGACAGTGAACGATTCCATTTTCCACAATCTTACTGCTGTCACTCACAGCAGATGATGCCTTACCGAGTAGACTGAGAGGAACATTCCATGACAGCAGATGATGCCTTCATAACTGGAGAGGACAATGATCTGCTGACAATACAGTCTGACAGCAGATGATGCCTTACCAGTAGACTGAGAGGAACATACATGGCCAACTATGATCTGCTGACAATACAGTCTGACAGCAGATGATGCCTTACCAGTAGACTGAGAGGAACATTCATGGCCAACTATCATCTGCTGACAATACAGTCTGACAGCAGATGATGCCTTACCAGTAGACTGAGAGGAACATTCATGGCCAACTATCATCTGCTGACAATACAGTCTGACAGCAGATGATGCCTTACCAGTAGACTGAGAGGAACATTCATGGCCAACTATCATCTGCTGACAATACAGTCTGACAGCAGATGATGCCTTACCAGTAGACTGAGAGGAACATTCATGGCCAACTATCATCTGCTGACAATACAGTCTGACAGCAGGCGATGCCTTACCAGTAGACTGAGAGGAACATTCATGGCCAACTATCATCTGCTGACAATACAGTCTGACAGCAGCGATGCCTTACCAGTAGACTGAGAGGAACATTCATGGCCAACTATCATCTGCTGACAATACAGTCTGACAGCAGATGATGCCTTACCAGTAGACTGAGAGGAACATTCATGGCCAACTATCATCTGCTGACAATACAGTCTGACAGCAGATGATGCCTTACCAGTAGACTGAGAGGAACATTCATGGCCAACTATCATCTGCTGACAATACAGTCTGACAGCAGACTGAGAGGAACATTCACCAACTATCATCTGCTGACAATACAGAGACAGCAGAACCATAGACTGAGAGGAACATGGCCAACTATCATCTGCTGACAATACAGTCTGACAGCAGGCGATGCCTTACCAGTAGACTGAGAGGAACATTCATGGCCAACTATCATCTGCTGACAATACAGTCTGACAGCAGGCGATGCCTTACCAGTAGACTGAGAGGAACATTCATGGCCAACTATCATCTGCTGACAATACAGTCTGACAGCAGATGATGCCTTACCAGTAGACTGAGAGGAACATTCATGGCCAACTATCATCTGCTGACAATACAGTCTGACAGCAGATGATGCCTTACCAGTAGACTGAGAGGAACATTCATGGCCAACTATCATCTGCTGACAATACAGTCTGACAGCAGGCGATGCCTTACCAGTAGACTGAGAGGAACATTCATGGCCAACTATCATCTGCTGACAATACAGTCTGACAGCAGGCGATGCCTTACCAGTAGACTGAGAGGAACATTCATGGCCAACTATCATCTGCTGACAATACAGTCTGACAGCAGATGATGCCTTACCAGTAGACTGAGAGGAACATTCATGGCCAACTATCATCTGCTGACAATACAGTCTGACAGCAGATGATGCCTTACCAGTAGACTGAGAGGAACATTCATGGCCAACTATCATCTGCTGACAATACAGTCTGACAGCAGATGATGCCTTACCAGTAGACTGAGAGGAACATTCATGGCCAACTATCATCTGCTGACAAGTCTACAGTCTGACAGCATTCAGATGATGCCTTACCAGTAGACTGAGAGGAACATTCATGGCCAACTATCATCTGCTGACAATACAGTCTGACAGCAGATGATGCCTTACCAGTAGACTGAGAGGAACATTCATGGCCAACTATGATCTGCTGACAATACAGTCTGACAGCAGATGATGCCTTACCAGTAGACTGAGAGGAACATTCATGGCCAACTATCATCTGCTGACAATACAGTCTGACAGCAGATGATGCCTTACCAGTAGACTGAGAGGAACATTCATGGCCAACTATCATCTGCTGACAATACAGTCTGACAGCAGATGATGCCTTACCAGTAGACTGAGAGGAACATTCATGGCCAACTATCATCTGCTGACAATACAGTCTGACAGCAGATGATGCCTTACCAGTAGACTGAGAGGAACATTCATGGCCAACTATCATCTGCTGACAATACAGTCTGACAGCAGATGATGCCTTACCAGTAGACTGAGAGGAACATTCATGGCCAACTATCATCTGCTGACAATACAGTCTGACAGCAGATGATGCCTTACCAGTAGACTGAGAGGAACATTCATGGCCAACTATCATCTGCTGACAATACAGTCTGACAGCAGATGATGCCTTACCAGTAGACTGAGAGGAACATTCATGGCCAACTATCATCTGCTGACAATACAGTCTGACAGCAGATGATGCCTTACCAGTAGACTGAGAGGAACATTCATGGCCAACTATCATCTGCTGACAATACAGTCTGACAGCAGATGATGCCTTACCAGTAGACTGAGAGGAACATTCATGGCCAACTATCATCTGCTGACAATACAGTCTGACAGCAGATGATGCCTTACCAGTAGACTGAGAGGAACATTCATGGCCAACTATCATCTGCTGACAATACAGTCTGACAGCAGATGATGCCTTACCAGTAGACTGAGAGGAACATTCATGGCCAACTATCATCTGCTGACAATACAGTCTGACAGCAGATGATGCCTTACCAGTAGACTGAGAGGAACATTCATGGCCAACTATCATCTGCTGACAATACAGTCTGACAGCAGATGATGCCTTACCAGTAGACTGAGAGGAACATTCATGGCCAACTATCATCTGCTGACAATACAGTCTGACAGCAGATGATGCCTTACCAGTAGACTGAGAGGAACATTCATGGCCAACTATCATCTGCTGACAATACAGTCTGACAGCAGATGATGCCTTACCAGTAGACTGAGAGGAACATTCATGGCCAACTATCATCTGCTGACAATACAGTCTGACAGCAGATGATGCCTTACCAGTAGACTGAGAGGAACATTCATGGCCAACTATCATCTGCTGACAATACAGTCTGACAGCAGACGATGCCTTACCAGTAGACTGAGAGGAACATTCATGGCCAACTATCATCTGCTGACAATACAGTCTGACAGCAGATGATGCCTTACCAGTAGACTGAGAGGAACATTCATGGCCAACTATCATCTGCTGACAATACAGTCTGACAGCAGATGATGCCTTACCAGTAGACTGAGAGGAACATTCATGGCCAACTATCATCTGCTGACAATACAGTCTGACAGCAGATGATGCCTTACCAGTAGACTGAGAGGAACATTCATGGCCAACTATCATCTGCTGACAATACAGTCTGACAGCAGATGATGCCTTACCAGTAGACTGAGAGGAACATTCATGGCCAACTATCATCTGCTGACAATACAGTCTGACAGCAGATGATGCCTTACCAGTAGACTGAGAGGAACATTCATGGCCAACTATCATCTGCTGACAATACAGTCTGACAGCAGATGATGCCTTACCAGTAGACTGAGAGGAACATTCATGGCCAACTATCATCTGCTGACAATACAGTCTGACAGCAGATGATGCCTTTACCAGTAGACTGAGAGGAACATTCATGGCCAACTATCATCTGCTGACAATACAGTCTGACAGCAGATGATGCCTTACCAGTAGACTGAGAGGAACATTCATGGCCAACTATCATCTGCTGACAATACAGTCTGACAGCAGATGATGCCTTACCAGTAGACTGAGAGGAACATTCATGGCCAACTATCATCTGCTGACAATACAGTCTGACAGCAGATGATGCCTTACCAGTAGACTGAGAGAGGAACATTCATGGCCAACTATCATCTGCTGACAATACAGTCTGACAGCAGGCGATGCCTTACCAGTAGACTGAGAGGAACATTCATGGCCAACTATCATCTGCTGACAATACAGTCTGACAGCAGATGATGCCTTACCAGTAGACTGAGAGGAACATTCATGGCCAACTATCATCTGCTGACAATACAGTCTGACAGCAGATGATGCCTTACCAGTAGACTGAGAGGAACATTCATGGCCAACTATCATCTGCTGACAATACAGTCTGACAGCAGACGATGCCTTACCAGTAGACTGAGAGGAACATTCATGGCCAACTATCATCTGCTGACAATACAGT